TTCTATATGGGTTGATACCTGTCACATAGACTGTGTTAGGGAGTGGTTGCTCCTCGTCTTACCCTGCTGAGCTCAGTAGGATGAGCTGTTGTGTTTGCATGCTTCGTAGTGTGTGCCAGGGAGGCTTTGTGGTCCTAGGTCCTGTCTGTCTGGCAGGATATGTTTATAGTCCCAAGCTGGTCTAGAATCCACTGTCCTCCTGCCTCAGCCTGCCCAGTACTGAGATGCAGGTGTTACCTCTGGCCTGTTGTTTCCAGGGAACCTGACAGTGCCTGAGTCTCTTGTGTGTGGTGGATCTTTTGAGAATTTCTACTTTTTTGTGTGAGGGAAAAATTTCATTGAAAAGATACATTTTATGTGTTTGAGTGTTTGTTTGCATGTCTGTGCACCACATGTGTGCCTGGTACCCAAGGTGACCAGAAGAGGGCATTGGATTCCCTGGGCCTAAGAGACTGATGGGTGCTGGGAACCAAACCTGGATGCTATAGCTTCTGAGCTAGCTCTCTTGTGGCTGGTGTACTTTGCTGTAGGAAGATGCTTGTTTTCTCCAGGTGACTAATCTGTCCGTGCACATTGTTCATAGTGTCCCCTTAGAGTTCCACTCTACTGTGTGTGCTGTGTGTTTGGTGTGTGAAGGCCGCAGGTCAACATAAGTGTCTTCCCTGTCTTGCCCCTCATTTTAAGAAATTATTTTTACTTTATCTTTTAAAAAATAGCTTTCTTATTTATGCACATTGGTGTTTTTCCTGTCTGTGTGTCTATGTGAGGGTGTCAGATCCCCTGGAACTTGAGTTACAGACAGTTGTGATCTGCCATGTGGGTGCCAGGAATTGAACCCAGGTCCTCTGGACGAGCAGTTGGTGCTCTTAATCACTGAGCCACTTTTCCAGCCCTTCTGTTCCTTAATTTTTGACACAGGGTCTCACTCCCTGAACCTGAGCTCCCTGGTGGCTGGACAGGCTGATGGACAAACTCCAGGGCCCTGTCTGTGCTTCTCCATGGCTGGAGCCTGGCTCTCACATTTGGGTCTTTGTATGTTCTGTTTTAGGAAGCTATCTTATTTTATGGGCCTTTGTTTGTTTTTAATGTACAAGTGTATGTGCCTGAGTGTATATATGTGTGTACCATTTGTCCAGAACCCACAGGGATCAGAAGCTGGTACCGGGTCCCGTGAGTGCTCTTAACGGCCTGCTGTGCTATCTCTGCTACGGGCTGGTTACAGTGAATGTCTTCACACAAGCTATTGGAACTGAATGAGTCCTCCTGTCATCTTTGCTCTCAGTATAGTTTTTCTTTTTATTCTGAGTCAAGGCCTCACTCTGTTCAGGCTAGCCTGGTCTTTGCATCCTCCTCCTTCAGCCTCCTGCACACTGGATGACAAGTGCTACCTTGTGCCCAGCTCTCTGGTAACTCTTGTCTGAGTCTCTGCTTGCTGAAGAGTGTGTCACATGGTTTCGGCCTGGCATGAGGTTTTCCGGCCTCTCCCCCGTCTCCATGGAACAACTGGCAGTCCTTCTTCCTGGGGTTCTACTGCATCTTCCCGTTCTGTTGCTGAACTCTATGCTGTCGCTGGGAGCTGCTTCTCACGTTGTGATTCGGAGTGCAGCCTGTGTCCCGTCTCCACCTCACACTTTCCCTGCACCTGTTCCAGGGAACCTCAGGGCCTTACACTGGAGGGCAGGAGGCTGGGGCCAGCCAGGGTTGTGCTCAATGTCCCTGTCCTGCTCCTCTTGGGTACTGAACCAGGAAAGCCCTTCTCACAGCCACATTGATCTCTGGCTGGTTCAGAGATTGTCGTTCCCTGCTGACAACCACATGCCAGCCAGTGAGTCTCTTTCTTGGTTTAGGGTTGTGCACCTAGAAGCTGATTGATCTGACTGTGAAGATGGACAGTCCCATCTGTCCTCAGTCTCCTAGGTTCATTGTGTCCCATCACAGTCTCTCCTGGAGTCATACCCATCACACTTGCACTCTGTATAGGGGCCCACATGTTGGGTCCATAGTGGTTCTGATCCCCCAGTTTCCCAAACATGGCCTGTTGAACTCATTCTGGCAACCTCTCATCTGTTTCCAGTCTCCACCTCTGCCCCTGGATTGTCAGGCGGCGGTGTGAGGAGCCCTTGGCTCTGGCTCTGCTGTGTGTGGGTCTGGGCCTATAAACACTTGTCACTGGGCTTCGGTTTATGGGGCAAGATGTGTGAGCTGTGGCTGCTCCAAGCTTCCAGTTCTTACATAGGTCTGCTCAGGCTCCGCGCTTTGTTGAAGGGGTTCCCAGCATGTAATTCCTCACCTGAGCTGTGCACTGTACAGTTCCTGTGATTCCTCAGTATCCACAAGTCCTTCCTCCTCCTGTCTGTTGGCTTTATTTTGGGTCAGGGCTTTGTGCAGTCTGGCTATCCTCAAGTTTTGTGTGGCCAAGGATGACTGAACTCTTTTATGCTTGGGTTCATTCATTCTTTCTTCTCTTTTCTGAAAGATTTATTTTTGTTTCATGTGTATGAGTGTTTGCTTATGTGTATATCTGTGTGCCGTGTGTGTGCTGTGCCTGTACAGACCAGAAGAGGATGTTTGGTCCTCTGGAGTTGGAGTTATCAGGCCATTGTGAGTCATGCTATGGGTGCTGGGAACAAGTACTCTTAATCCAAGTCATCTCCAGGCCAGGTGGTGGGTCCCTGAGCTGTCTCAGGATGATCCCACTGTCACATGGGGTCCTCTGTCCTGCAGAGTCCGCTGCTGTTCAGTCTTCCTCTTGCTGTTACTTGACTGTCCCTCACACCCAAGGACCTCCTGTCCTCCGGTCTCTTGTCCTGTCTTCCTTCAGGAGATGACACTTCTCTCGCTGTAGCAAAAGTAGGTGCCAGTGCACATTGCTGGGGCCCTAGAGGGAAAGCTCTTTCACCAGGTCTCTGGGAAGGCCCTGTGCGTATGGGTGGTAGACCTATATGTGGCCTGATCCTGACCAGATGCCAGTGGGGCTCAGATTGTCCCTGATGCTATGGAAACCTGGGCACATAGCAAAGCCTGGTGGCACAGGTGACCCAGGGGAGGGCAGGAGAAAGCCCATAGGACATAGAGGGTACCAAAGAGCTCTGAGGAGAGTGTGACAGCTGGGTGTATGCACTGAGCAGTTGGTAGTATAGAGAAGTGTAGAATCTGTGCAGAAGTGGAGAGCAGCCTGCCAGCTGCCGGCTCGCCTGCAGCGCCTTCTCTCTACTCCCAGAATGTTTGGACGTGAGCCCTGGCGACTCAACTGGCTCAATGTGTGACCTGTAAACAGTCCACTGCGTGTCTGTAGGAGATAAGACTGTGATACCTCATCAGAGCGTCTGCAGACCAGCTCTGCAGCTGCCTTAGCGTCTTGTACATGGGCTTCCTGGTACCTCATAGATGGTCAACCTGTCTGAAGTGGTGGCTGAGGGTAGAACCCAGGCCTCTCACATGCTAAGTACATGCACTGTTATTGAGCCTCATCCAACCCAGGTGTGTGTCTGACTCTGTGTGTTTGTATCTGTATGTCTCTGTGTGTATCTGTCTCTTTTTCTCTGTGTGTATCTGTGTATGTCTGTCTGTCTGTCTGCCTGTATGGTTTTTCTGCTTTGTATCTATGTTTTACTAGTCTGTTTTGTTCAGGATTTAAATCAGCAATCAGGACAGGTCTTGGCTCTTTGACTGGGTCTCAGAGGCTCTTCTTTCCCCTCTCCTCTCTTCTCCCCTCTGCCACCTCCTATCGTTGTTCACTCTCTTTCAGTGATGCTGCTTGTCACATAAGGGCATAATGCTGAGGATGGCCCCATTACAGCATCTCTTGTGAACTTACATTTGAACCTGGATCCTCAGTCATTTCAGGCCACACTCAGAATTATCTGACTGCTAACTGCGAGTCTGTGAACCCCAGGCTCACAGCATACTGGGGTCCTCGTGGTGGCTGCTGTTCTGTCACACTCGGGGTGGGAGATGGGTTCAGGTGCTTGGGGCCAGTCTGTCCCAAAGCCCTTTATCCTGAGCTGTGTGCACTCCTGGCCTCCCTGGCACTAGCACTGGTCTGGCCAGTTGGGTGGCATTGCAGTTGTCTGAGGCTAGAGAGATGCTGGCTCGCTGCCCACTGTGGCGAGTACAGGTGGCTGCAGTGCATACACCAGGGGCCTGTGCTGAAGCTGCTTGGAGTTGAAGCAAATTGGGGATCGACTGAAGTGTCTGTGGGCCTTAAACTTGGGGGATGGTTAGCACACTGCTGACCCTCGTGTCCTGAAGTGTAGCTCTCTGATGCTGCCTCCCCAGGGAGGCCCCTGTCTCCCTCTGTCATCCCTCACCTGTCCTGAGTCAGCAGGGGTGACTAAAGTAGAGAACAGGGCCCAGCCAGGAAGAAGCTTGCTACATTGGCATGGGGACTTGAGCACCCTCGGGAAAAGCTGGGTGTATGTCCTTGTGCTCGAATAGAGACCAAGGGTAAGTTCCAGATTTGGTGAGACCCTGCCTCATAAAATAGGGTACAGAGTAACTAAGGAAGACATTTTACACACACATGTGTGTACACACATGTCCAAAAACTTAGCCTTTTCCCCCTAAGGGTCCTTGCTTGCCCTGTTGGGCCAGCTCTGCATAGCCCTTCAAGGTACTGCCAGAGAGCAGCTGCTGGAAACAATGGGGTGCAGTTGACCTGACCCGCTGGTGACTAAACTGGTGGTTAGTCCTCTTTCCTCTTCCTGTCACTGTCTCTGAGCCCCTCCCCCCACTTGTTTCTCAGATCATTTGCTGAACACCCAAGGTATCCATTTGGTGCTGTCCAGTTCCACCCACTTGGAGTGCTGGTTCATCTTGTGAGCAGTTTTCCTCAGTTGGACACTGGATCCTGAGGCTCGATGGTCCCAAGGGCACACTGTCTGAGCTCACATTTGTGCTGTGGCCAGCTGGCTGGGCCCAGACTCTGTGCTGCACAGTAGCAACTCCCTCTTCTGTCGTCCCTCCTTGGCCCACCTGTCTCCCTGATGTCCATTTTGTAGGGAATGCAGGTTGACTGCTTGGTCATCTCCACAGCCAGACAGGACCCCTCTGTGAATGGAGTGATGCCTGGGACCCAGTTAGGGGTGGCCAGGTAAGGGAGCCAGTGCAAGATGGTGGCTTCTTGTCCCATCTGTGCTAGCCTGTCCCCTCATCTTCTGCTTCGTGTTGTGGCCAGAACAAGAAGGGGGCACAGTCCTCATTCATCTAGGCCAGGCTCTGCAGAAACCCATGTCCAAACGTGAGCTCCCCATCCTCAAGGTTAGCCTCACCCCTGTTGCCCTTCACTCGCAACTCCTAGAGGACCCATCCAGTGTCAGTGTTAGTGTTAGATGAATAAGGACATCAGTGGCCACTCTGCTGCTGAGGGTTAACACATAGCTGACTGACCCTGCTGTGAGTCACCCCGAGTCTCCAAAGCTTACACGCCACCATTGAGCAAACTGTGACCTACATATCCCCAGGAAACCAGGGAGACCCTGCCCCTTCCCTCACCTACTGGAGGAGCACTTGGCAGACTGGGGCCTGCCCTGCTGCCGCTCACAGAGGTTTCCTGTCCTGTGGCCTGACGTTCTGTGTGAGGTGTTGTTTGTTTGCTAAGATTGCTTTTGTTTTCTTGGGAGCTGAGTGTTTATTTTTAAATCTCACTGGTTAGCTAACATGAAGCTCACTGTGGGTTTAAAGTTCCCGCTGCTGTCATTTGCTGGGCTGGACCCATCTCCATAGAATTGGGAGTGGGGAAATGGGGCTAAAGGCCTCTTATCCCTCAGGGAGTACTGTTCCTCCATTAGGGATGTTGAAGTATCTGTGCTCTCCCGCTAATACATCCAAAGAAGAAATCAGAGGGAGGAGGGGCTCTTGAGGCTGGCCATTGCCTACCCAAGAATCCCCAAAACCTGGTACTGCACAGACTGACTAGATACCTCCCCCTCTCCTCCTGCCATGAGTGGGGCGGGAGACTACTAGAGTCTCTGGTGTTCGGCTTGGAGGTGTCCACTCTGCATGCTCAGTACTTGGCTGCTATGGTGATGACTACTTCCCAGCAGCCATGAATGACTGCAGCAGTTACAGCTCCCAATTGGGCATTGGGCATCTTGGATGTCATGGCCCCCAGTTTACAGCCACCAGCTTTTGGACCTTCAGGTCTCAGCAGCTTCTGGAACTTTTAGGAACCAGGACTATCCCTCTTTTTCTTGTTCCTGGTTGGTTTATTTGTTCCTTCCTTTCTTTTCTTTTCTTTTTTTATTTATATTTTTTCTTTTTTGGTTTTTCAAAACAGGGTTTCTCTGTAGCTCTAGAGCTTGTCCTGGAACTCACTCTGTAGACCAGGCTGACCTCAAACTCATAGGGATCCACCTGCCTTTGCCTTCTGGGATTATAGGCATGTGCCACCACCACCTGGTGTCCCTGGTTTCTTAAACTTGCCACCATTTCCTTCCACCATGTGGGTCCTCAGGCTTGCATGGTCAAGTGTCTGTCTCTGCTGATCCACTTTCTGATTGCAAGGTGAGGTGGGTTCTGTTCTGTTTCTCTTCATGTTGCTATCTAGTTGTACCAGCACCATTGTTTGATGAGGTTGTTTTGCCTCCATGAAACTGCCCTGACACCCATGTCACAAATCAGTTGTCTGCCCTGTATCTGGGGATGGGTATTGGTATGGGAATGCTCTCCTTATCCTAGCTCTCAGGAGGTGGAATCAGGAACACTGGGAGTTCAAGGCCAGCCTGGAGTGTAGTTTGTTTACACATCACCTGGCAGTGGGGCATCAAGTCACTGTGAAAATGGTTCCTTGTGGCTTCTACACCACTGCACATAAAAAGCCTCTGGGTTTTGGTTTCTGTGGTGGCTCCTGAAGACCTCCTATGGTAAAACTGTGTTATCTGACCCCCATTTCTGCACTGCTCACAGGATTGAGACCCAATCTCTCTGGGGGTCTGTAAGGAAAGCACAAGGAGTGCCTTGCTGTATCTATAAGACTTGAAGAAGAGCAACACCTCACTGGTGTTGAAGGGAAATCCCAGAGGCTCAGCGCCCTCTCGGGAGCGAAGGGCTCTATTATTAATGGTTGGAGAGATAGGAGGCGTGGGGCAGGCTTGGGAAGGCCCTGTCTTGTCCAGTGCTCTGGCTTCCTGCTCACTGCTGATGGAATTCCATGTTCTGTGTTCTAGGAGGAACCGAGGAAGGTCTGTTTTACCTACGACCTGTTCCTCAATTTGGAGGGCAACCCTCCTGTCAACCACCTGCGCTGCGAGAAGCTCACCTTCAACAACCCTACTACAGAGTTTCGCTGCAAGCTGCTCATGGCTGGCGGGGTGAGTGCGCCTGCCCGCCACCTCTGCTCTGTGCTGGCTGCTGGCGTGGCTGGGCCTGGGTGGCCCTTAACTGGTGGGGCAGGCAGCAGCCTGAGGACCTGGAGGGGCCCATGGACAAGGGCAGACAACTACGACTCAACTGGCTGCTGAAGGAGAAGGTCGCAAAGCCACTTTCGGTGACCTAAGGTCACAGAGCATACCCAGGTGCTAGCCTAGGCCTGTGATGGTCTGGCAAGGGGTGTGAGGATATGGGGAGTGGCAGTGGGTATGGGAGCACTGTGGGGTAGTTTGTATGGCTGCCCATGGTCTTGTATGTCAGTGCACATGTGTGCATGCAGGTTATATGTGGTACCTGCTTAGGAGATCATGGTGTTCTGAGCTGTAAGCACATCATGTGGTGTATCGGGTGCAGAGGTAGAGATGGGTGGGCTGTGTGGTGTTGTGTCGTTTGGGATGTGTGTAAACGTAGGACAGAGTATGTGGTAGTGTCTGAGATGGTGTGTGTGTGTCTGTGTGTCTGTGTGTGTCTTGAGGTATGGGGGTCTGTGGTATGGTAGGACTGGGGCTCTGTGGTGCTATCTGAGTGTATGGCTAGCCCTCTCCCCCAGGTACATGTCAGCCAGCATATGTTTCTGGAGTCAGGCATCCCCTTTCTCTTGGTTTGTATAGCCAGGTCTCTCATGAACTCCCTCCTCAGAATAGAAGTGGTTGTTTCCAGGCAAAGGGTTGAGTGGGTTTCAAACCCTGTGTGCTGCCGATGAAGCTCTCTGACTGTGTGGTGGCAGGGCAGTGGCAGCCTGGGATGGACGTACAGACATGATACTACTCTGCATTCAGGTCCTGGAATAACTGAGGGTGTGTGGGTGTGTGCAGAGGCAGCTCCACCCTCTGCTGCCCTACACTAGGAACTGCGCATCCACAGCGTGTGTGGGCGTCCCCAGGGCCCCAGGTCAGCTTCTTGGGAGCGTCAGCGTCTCAGGCCTCTCCAAGCCTCTCAGGTGCCAGGGGAGGTATTACCCGAACTGTGGAGAAGGTTCTCAGGGCATCATCTGGACACAGCATAGGAGGAGCAGGGAGGGAAGCTGTGTCCAGCCGGCCTTGAAGAGAAACTGCAGTGAGGTCCTAGAGTGCTTCTAGGGAGCCAGCCAGCCAAACAGACACTTTCAGCCTCAGGTGGCCTGGCTATGGGACGATGGCTCTCAGGTGACTCCCGGGACCAGGTAACTGTGGCTCTGTGTTGTTGGCCTTCTGGGTCGTAAATATCTGTGGGGGTAATGCTTGTCTAGGAGCTGTGGGCACTGGGGAACTGGAGGTGGCATCATGTTAGGGTCACATGTTCTTGCAGTGGCTCCAGGTTCTGTACTTGACTTTGTCCCTAGGAAGGAGCAGACTGGGGTCCATCACTGCCATAGCCAGGCAGCCAGCAGTGCCCAGCTTGGTCTCGTCCGCTTGTGGCCTGGGGTTATTTGTACCAGGTAACCGGGCCCATGTGGCATCTTGTCTGTGTGCCGTCCCCATCTGGCCTCGGGCATCTTGGCAGGGAACACAAGGTGCTGGCCCTGGAGGCCAAGCTGGCTGGCAAGTGGAGAAGAATGCAAGCCATGCAGGGACCATTGAAGCCTGGCTACCTACCCTGGAGCTGGGTTTTCCTGCACTAAGCTCCTACCCTGTCCTGGAAGTTGGACCTCACAGGTGCTTCTAAGAACTGGTGTTCACAAGACCCAGCTGGGGACACACAGCCTTCGTAGGAGCCTCACCTCTGTTGTGGTTGGGCATGCTCCAGTGAGCAAGTCACAGCAGGGCAGGTCAAGTTCCTGCCCTCTTCCAGTTCGGTGTCGTGTGGTGTGGGGCATCCGCATCCCCAGAGGACAGGTGTGTGTGGTTGCAGAGCCCAGGTGCTTGGGGCTGAACGTCACTTTTTTGGCCAGCCTGAGCCCTTTTCTTACAGTCCCATCCTCCCTCTATTTGCCATCCTATGCAATGGTTGTGTCCTCAATGGTTGGCCTCCATCTTTATGTGACCTTGCCGTTTGGAGGCCAGTCCCAAACTGCTGCTGATGTCTTGGGAGCTGCTGAAGCCGGGCAGTACTTCTGGGCCTTAGGCCAGTCCTCATCTCAGCCCATGACCCTGAGCTGGCTGGTGCTTGCAGTGACCAGCTCTGGCCACTTAAGTTCTTCTCTTGCCCTTGGCCCTGGTCTTGGCCTCTGCCTTGCTGCTTGGGCTCTATGTGACCAGCTGCAACTGCCTGTACCTGAAGTGAGAAAAGCTTGTCCCCAGCCACGTCTGTGCTGATCCCTCAGAAGCCTCTTTGCTGCCACCAGCTTCTGCCTCTCCTGCTGTGCCTCACTCCAGCCTCCTCCTCAGTGCTCAGCGCAGTCTGTGGCCCCAGCTGCATCTCTTGCTTTGCCACAGACTCTGAATCTTCTTGATCAGGGTTGCAGTCTGCTGGAGGCCTTAAGGCCATCTTGGTCCCCTGCCATTGTCCATCATAAGGATAAACCTGTGATTCTTCTGGGCAGCTGGCCTCCGGCTCCCTTCTCCCTCCCCAGGAGGCCAGCTCCACGGCTGCCAGCCCATCGCCTGGGGCCTGTGGATAACCTCTGTCTCTTCTTTGTCACTAGGTGATGGTAATGCCCGAAGGAGTGGACACGGTGTCCAGGCCCAGCCCCGACTACCCCATGTTACCCACAATTCCACTCTCTGCCTTCTCTGACCCCAAGAAGAACAAACCGTCCCACGGCTCCAAGGTTAGTGAGGTGGAAGGCCAACATTGCGGAGCATGGACCTGGCCACTGGCAATTGCAGGCCATTTCCACCATCTGCTGAGCCTGGCCTGTACACCTGGCGCCTACATCCCAAGCCTCTGCTCCTGATCTGTGTCGCTTCGCTAGCTAGCGTCAAGGAGTAGTGCTTGTGATCTGGCTGTTCATCCTGCACCCTACTCCTCTTGAGTCAGGCCTCCTGGGCCCTCTTTCCTGCCCAGCAGTGATTTGGTCACTGGACAGGGCATCTCCATCAGTGATCCCTTGGCTACCTTCTAGTTCCAACAAGGCCAGGCCAAACCTGCCCTTGCCACTTCCAGCTCTGCTGGTCAGCAGTACTGGCGTGAAACCGATTTGGGGGATGCTGAGAATAGCATGTATGCGCTTGAGCTGAATCCCAAGGACACATATTTCGTTCCATCACTCGGCTTTCTGGAAGGTCCTCAGTGGGCCTCCTGGAGCAGCCACACAAGACATAAGCTGCCCAATGCTATCAGCACCGCCATGACATCTGAACCTAGTACCCTGGACCCATCCCTTAAAACATGTGGGCTTGACCTTTTTGGGACACTTCTTGGCGTGACCTTGTATCTGTCCTTCATTTCACATTCTTCTTGCTTCACTTGCCTGTAGGGCATTGTCAGCAGGGCATCTGTGAGACTCAAGCACCCTTGGGCCCTCTTATCCATGGGTACCACAGGAAGAGAAGCAAGCACTAGACAGGCTCCTTCCAGCTCTTTCCACAAGGCTAGCAGGCCTGTATCATCCTCAAGCTGGTCACATCTTAGAGTCCTGATGTCACCCTTGACTGACTTTGGAAAGTTGCAGGAGAGACCAGGCTTTGCTGGCAGCCTGGGGCTTCTTACTCAGCCATTGTTGTTTGGGATCCCCGGAAGCATTGAAGGCTAAGGGTGCTGTGTCTCCTGTGCAGGTGCCTCCCTGGTGAGCAGATCTTCTCTACCCACTTCTGTGGGTGCTGCCTGGGGCCGCACAGACTTCTAGGCAGCACAGCTTCTTCTCTGTGACTCCCAGAAGCACCAGCCTTAGAGCATGGTCCACACCTGAGTGTCAGCTCTTCCACTACCCTGACTGAGCAGTCTTTCATGGCCTGTGGCTGGAGCTAGGACCACCCAGACCTCCCCTGGAGGCACAGATTGTGTCACCCTCATGGGCACCAGGCCACCAGCTTTGGCAGCCTCTCTGAAGTGCCCGTCTTCACTTTTGAGAAGAGAGGGCAGCGTCGAGCCTATGATGGTTCCATCCTCACCAACTGCTTTCTCAGTGTTTGAGATTGGGTCTCGCTGTGGAGGGCTAGTTGGCCTGGAACTGCGTAGTTGCCCAGGCATGGCCCTAGGGAAGTGGCTCCTGTCAACCACTCAGAACTGTGGGCACATTCTCGCAGCCGCTCTTCCCTGTAGACTTGTCCTCAGCAAGAGAGGGTGAGGCCCGCATGCTTTCCATTTCTTGCCTCCATTGTGGCTTGCTGGGACACAGTCCTCTTCTCTCCAGTGTCTACTGTGCACTCATCATCCTGCAGTGCCCTTGTTAAGTTTGCAGGAGCATGGCCACGGCACAGGTCACAGTCCTGAGGCAGCTTCATCTGTCCCTAGACACCTGAGTGCTCCAAGTGTGTTGCAGAGCCCTTCTTGCCAGGGGCTTGTCCCACCAGCTTGGTGTCCTCTGTGGTACTTTCTGCTGTCTATGTCTTGGGGTCTGGCCTGCATGGGAAGAGCTGTCACCTGGTGAGCTCTGAGCTATTTTGCCTGGCCACTGCTATACCTACTGAAGAGAAGGTTGGAACTGGTGGAGGCACGAGTTGAGCGCTCCAGAATGATCTGGTGACTGGGGAGTGGAGAGGGGATGTGAGAGTACTGCCTGTCGGGCTGTGGGCTGCTGACGTCGTCGTGGGCACTGGCCTCTTTTCTGAGCTCTTGCTCTTTGGAGTAGGCACTCCTTCCCACGTTCGGAGGGAACATGGGTGCAGAAAGCTGGGCATTCCCCACTGGTTTCCATAGCTAAAACAGGACTGCTCTGCCTGGGTGGTGCCTCTGTCTCTCTGGGGTGTCCATGCCTGTCAACTGAGCTCTCTGGACCTCTGGATCTAGTTTTAGAAGAGCCACCTGGGTCATGTGCCTTGTACTGTACCCACCCCGTCAGCTTGGAGGTGCTGGCTGCCCAGCTCAGCTCCAGGATGGGTTGCGAACACCAAGAACGTGGACTAGGGCCTCGAGAGAGGCTGACCACACCTCCTAGTTGGTGCAGCCTTGGGTCTCCCTGATGCAAGTAGCTGTAGGCGCTGGTGGCTATAGTGGCTATACAGGTTTGTGGGCATAGCTCTACTGTGTCTGTTGGCTGTACCCTTTCACTCTGCAGATTCTCTCTACACATTTCAAACAGGCAAATCAGCCTTTGCCTGGGCCTGGGTGGTTAAGTCTGGCAGCCCTAAGGTGCTGCTAACACATCTTCCTCATCTTCCCTGCCCTTGGCCTTGCAGGACGCCAACAAAGAGGGTGGTAAGGCGTCCAAACCTCACAAGGTGGCCAGGGAGCACCGTGAGCGGCCGCGCAAGGACTCAGAGAGCAGGAGCTGCTCCAAGGAGCCAGAGCGCGAGCCCAAGAGTGCCAAGGATGCTGTGCGCAAGCTGCCCAAGGAGGAGAAGGCCCCCGCACCCAAGGCTGCCTTCAAGGAACCCAAAATGGCCCTAAAGGAGACAAAGCTGGAAAGCCTGTCCCCGAAGGGGGCACCCCAGCCCCCTACCCTGCCCAAGGCCTCCAGCAAGCGGCCTGCTGCCACGGACTCACCGAAGCCCAGTGCCAAAAAGCCTAAGAAGAGCGGATCGAAGGGGACACGGCGTGCCCCTGGCACCTCACCCCGCGCCTCCTCCTCCTTCCCTGACAAGAAGGTGCCCAGGGACAAGAGCAGCAGCAAAGGTGACAAGGGGAAGGCAGACAGTGAGGCTCGGGAGGCCAAGCGGACCCAGCAGGCTGACGACTCAAACTCAGAGGATGAGGCCTCCTTCCGGTCAGAGGTGAGCAGGTCGTGCTGGGTGCTTCTTGCCAGTTTCCTGTCTCCCCTGCCCATGCAGTAGTAGCTGAGATCCCTAGGTGCTATGGACCATGTAGTACTGCAGTTCGGAACCCCAGCCCTGGTGCCACCCACTGGGCAGGCTGTGATTTTGGTGGTTAGGCAAGCACTGTTGATTCAAGATCAACCTGACAGTTCCCTCTCTGAGGTCCTGCCTTTCTGGTGTGCCTTGACCCTGCTCTCCCATCAGGAGGATGAGTGATGGCCATAGAGCCAGCCATCCAGAGCTTCTCTGGGAGCCTCCTGTCTCCTGCACCTGTGCCAAGCAACAGGGTACAGATTCAGTCTACCTTTTTCTGGGGGGCTGTCTGCCTGTGTCAGGGACGTGGGCTCCTAGCTGTAGAGGTGAGTGCTCTGTCCCTGGAGTTCTGGCACTTTGCCTGCTGAGTGCTGGATACCTTCCACAGTTCTCAGGGAAGTCTCAGCTCTGCAGAGACAAAGCAGAGCAGTGTGTCAGCAGCTCCCAGGGCTTATCCCTCAGGTGCTGGGTTGTGCAGGACCACCTCAGCCAGGGCTCAGCCTCTGCTATATGAAACTGTGGCTCTGGGTGATAAAACACCCTCCTCCAGGTACCAGGGCAGGGCACTTAGGGCAGCTGTGGAGCCCACCATGCCTGAACTGTGGGCTGGTGTTCTGATCCTAGGCAGGGAGCTCACAGGCCACTCTGTGGGCACTCCCCTCTCAGACTAGAGCAGAGTGTAGACAGTATATGACCCAGGAGCACCCCAATCAGAGTGTCTGCCACAGCTGCTGGGCCTCAGCAAGCGTCATCTCTCTGAGGAACAGCTGCTGTTGTAAGCTTGGTGGCCTTGCCACTGTGCTTGGTCCTACTGTCCACACCCCAGGCTTTTGTGGTTGTGGGAAGTGTGGCTGCAGTAGGATGATGGTACTCTCTGCTCCTGGGCTCTCTGTGGTAAGAAAGGTGCCAGGTCTGTGGACCACCACAAGCCCACTGAGGCCTCGGAGGGGCACCTGTCCCAGTCAGCTCCTAGCCTGTGCCTCAGCCTACAGGGCCACTCCCTTATAGGTGGGGAAATTGAGGCTTGAAACTAGAGCCTACCCTGACCTGGTGCAATGCCAGGCAGCAGCCATCTTTCTTCATTTTACTGCCCAGGGAAAACAAATGGGATTGGTTGTGTTCAAGGGAGGGTGCCCTGGCTCCAGGCCCAGGCTTGTGAGGTCCTACCCTGAGAGCCTCACAGTGGACAGCAGTCATGGGTGGCTAGGACAGGTTCCCTGGGGACTCCTACTGGCCAGCAGAAGGTGGGTGAGGAGAGACTTCACGGGCACACCTGGCCTCCAGTGGGCCAGGCTGCAGTGAGCCCTGAGCAGGACAGTTCTGCCTTTAGCCTGGAATGTTCCCTCCTGAACTGTGCTTTCTGCAGACTAGGTACTGTCCTGTCCCATGTTCTGGGCAGAGCTGAGGGCCACTCAGCTCTCAGTCCTGAACTCTACCACGACAGGTGTGTTCCGTTTCCACACTCACCTTTGACCAGGGGAAGGGCTGTAGCCACTCGGTCCCAGGTAAGGGACAGGCTCTAGAAGATCTACTAACCTGCTGCTTTTTTCTGCTTCCTCCCATAGCCAGCCTCTTGCTGGTGACCACAGTAACTAGTCTATCCCCACCGTGAGTGTATGTCAAGATCATGTCCCCCACACCACATACAACATTGCACACTACAGACCTCACACCACAGATCACTCCTTACGTACTGTACATACCACACACCCCTTTCTCAGCACTCACTGAAGGACTCAGTGGCAGCCTCCTGCCTTGTCTTGTCCTGGCTGTCATTGCCCCCTGGTGGCCAAGTCCATCCCTGTGCAGTCATAGGAAGACCAGGCAAGGTGTGCCCTGCTCCAGGGTGTGTAACACACAGCTCCACCATCACTCCTGTGCATCTGGTGGGTAGTAGGAAGGCTTGGGCAGAGTCTGGACATTTGATCATCATCACTCAGCCCCAGGGAAGCACATGCTTCCTGCCCTAGCTCCTTGGGGCCATGTGGCTGCTTCACTGCCCCTCCTCCAACTGGCAAGATGACAGTCTCTTCTTTCCCTCTTTGCTTGCCCTGGCATGGACTGAAGTCGGCCCAGTCAAGCCCAGCCAACGCCAGCTCCAGCTCTGACTCCAGCTCCGACTCAGACTTTGAACCATCTCAGAACCACAGCCAAGGTGAGTGTGAAGGGGAGGTGGAGATGGACAGTAGGCACAGCCCAGGAGAGGCATGGCTCTCAGGGAATGGGACTGCTTGTTGCTTTAGAAAGACTGAGCCTGGACTTGTGCTCTTGAGCCAGGCTTTCCTTTGGGCTGGCATCCCTTCTCCTGGGCCATGCTATCAACCGGGAAATGATAAAGACAAGGAGCTGTGGTCACCCGGATTCACGTCACTCCCTGGGGACCACAGGCCTGTAGCCAGAGAGGTGCTCCCTCCTGAGGAATGGTCACTCAGCATTATAGAGCCAGCCTGTTCTGATCTATCAGGATGATCTGTGTGTTGGGCCTTCCCAGGGGCATTTAGGCTGGCTTCTGTATTCTGCCTCAGCAGACTGAGATCAGGCCAAGCACGGCCAAGCTGTTTTGATGAGCCTACTTCCCATGGTGACAGCCTCCTTTGGGAACTTGACTGGGGGATGGGGTCCTTGGAACTCATATTCTCCGAGGTTCTTGCCTGCTGGTTAGGGAGGGAACCAGCTGAATTGGCATCACATGACCAAGGTAATTGAGGGCTTTGTGTCCCTCTGTTGCCTTGGCAACAGGAATATAAACCAAGATGCCCTATGTAGGGGACTGGAACTGGGTGCCTCTGAGAAAGGGGAGGACGGTGGACCCAGAACATTATGCAGGGTTTCTGAGGCGCTGGATACCCTCACAAAGGGGTGCAGCTGGGTGGGGCTGTCGTCCCAGACAGAGCTATGGGCCACCTGGGAATCTGAGCTTTAGCTGCTGTGATGGAGGGGTCTTTCAGGCCAGTCAGAGATCAGGAGCCTGAGACCTGTGAGGAGGGCCAGGAAGGTGGGGGTCAGGGACCCTACAGATGGTGATGAGTCTGGGGTGGCCCTTGGGTAAGCAACCAGAGGCTCAGCTCCCCCTATCTGCTGCAGGCCCCCTACGCTCCATGGTGGAGGATCTACAGTCTGAGGAGTCGGATGAGGACGACTCTTCATCTGGAGAGGAGACCACTGTCAAGGCCAATCCAGGCCGAGAGTCCAGGTGAGGGGCCTGGGTGGTGCAGAAGCCGTCCTGGTGTTGGCCTTCACTGTCAGGGCAGGCTGGGGACAGCATGGAATTCACCACCCTGGCTTAAGGTTAGCTGCCTGTGGGAGAACTGGGCATAGCAGAGGCGTGCTGGATAGTGGGAGGCATGGGTTTCCGGGTGAGCCACCTTTAAAGCAGCCTTCCCCCATGGTGAGCGTGTCCTTACTTAGGGGAGTCAGAGACAGAGCAGGGTAACCTTTCCCCGTGGTAAGTGTGACCTTACCCAGGTGAGTCAGGGTTAAGGCAACCTTTCCTCACTCCTGGTGTGCATGTCCTTATACTGGGTCCCTAGAATGGGAGATCTGCCTGGAGTCTCCGTTTCAGGCCTCCAGCAGGCTGAGCACTAGGCTGTGACAGGCAGAACTGGGCATGGCACAGCAACCCAGGGCCCCAGTGGCCCTGCTTTAGGTTAGTGTATCTAGCAGTTTACTGTGGAGAGACCCAGAAAGTTTGACACATTCTGGCCGTAGCTCCTTCCATATCATTCAGGGCTACAGCTTTTTGCGTCTCTACAGTAAGCCACCCAAGAACCATGAGATTCAAGCCTAGATCCCACAAGGATCTGGCCTCTGCTCACAGAGAGGACTTGACCCTGGGAGAACAGGGGAAAACGGGTTCTTGAGAGTCACAGGTAGTCCCCTCCAAAGGGGCCATAGTTATCCTGTAGGGACATTATCTTCAGGGTGTTTGTGAAGGCCTTGGGTGGGAGGGAGCTTGCTAGCCAGCAGAGCTGGAATTGTCCCTGTTGTTAAGAAAGGGTCACACACAAGGGTGCTGGCAAGGCCCCATGTCTTGCCTTGCTCCCTAAAGAGATCTGAGATCCAGCATTCTCAGGTGCCACCTATTGAGCACAGAAAGAGGCAGAAGTAAAGGGGAGTCTGAGGCTGTGGTTGCTTGGTAACAGCCTGGCCTAGAGCCCCACTTGTGGCCTCAGAGCAGGAGCCCTGGGCAGGACCAACTGACTGGGAGCTGAGGGAGGAAATGCCGTCCTGGTGGATGGTTCAGTGGGTAAAATCACTTACCACCAGGCCTGAGGACCTGGGTTTGATCCCAGAGCCCATATGGTGCAAGGACTAATGTTGGGCTTGTTGGAATCAAAGTGTGCTGTTGAGTGTGCCAGGAGACAACTGTGGCCACTGTGCTTGCCCGGGGTCCCTGAGGAACTTCCTGCATACCTTGTTACTGACAGGATGGAAGCAGGAGTGGGTTGAGAGTGTAGTCTAATCGGTGAGTGATGACCGGACATGTTCTAGTCAGGGTGCCATGTAATTCAGTACTGCCTGCTGTGGGCTAAGGTATCTGTCACTTGGATACTCAGATCGGACATCATTCTGTGTGATGTCTGCACAGCCTGCTTTGCAGGAGGGATTATAGCAGGAATGCAGCAGGGGCTGAGACTTGCCCCAAGGGTCTCTGGCCCTCACCTCACATAGCCCTGCTAAGGATGGCTGCCAGCAGAGCTGGTCACTACCGTGTTCCAAGGTCAGCATGGGGTCTTCTGCAGCTAGAGGCAGGTCAAACAGCTCTGGAGCTCAGCCAGGGGTGGAGGCAGGGCAGTGTGAACACGGGGCACTTCGTTCCTACCAGTGTAGTATAGCATGAGTTGGCTCTGACAGCACCCTGTCTTCTCTTAGGCTAAGCTTCAGTGACAGTGAAAGTGACAATAGTGCTGACTCCTGCCTGCCTGGCCGTGAGCCCCCGCACCCGCAGAAGCCACCTCCTCCCAGCAGCAAGGTGAGTGGAGTCAGGCTCTGAGCCGGGCCCTCTGGTTATCCTGGGAGAGTTGGGGGGGCTGTGCTAGAGCTCACAGGTCTGGGGTCCCCACAGGTTTCTGGCCGGAGGAGCCCCGAGCCCTGCAGCAAACCTGAAAAGATTCTGAAGAAGGCTACCTATGATAAGGTGGGTGTGTCTGGGCCTGTGAGGGTGGGGGCGGGTGATCCTGGAGCTGTACTGCACCTGAGTTACCATAGCCCATTGACGCCCATTGACGTGCATCTCCCCAGGCTTACACAGATGAGCTGGTGGAGCTGCACCGGAGGCTGATGGCTCTGCGTGAACGCAATGTGCTGCAGCAGGTACTGCGCCTTCCCCTCCCGGGCCTGGGCATGGGGCACCCAGCTCTGTCCTCTGAGTCCACCAAACCTACCTTACAGATCGTCAACCTGATCGAGGAGACTGGCCACTTCAATGTCACCAACACCACCTTCGACTTTGACCTTTTCTCCTTGGACGAGAGCACCGTTCGCAAGCTGCAGAGCTGCCTGGAGGCCGTGGCCACATGACCCCGGCCACCACTGTGGAGCCACGGTGGGCATGGGCACGGGAGGGGCTGGGCATGAGGGCTGGCCCGCCATGGCTCCGTTCCCGGTACCACCCCCAGCTCTCCATGGTGCCCTGGTGCCCCTCAGTGGTTGGTGTTAAAGGGGCTGTGGGCCACACTTCCACAGGAGGGGGTGACACAGGACACATGTGGCTTGCATCCCCTTGTTCATTCTGCCAGTTATCCACTGTGGGTGGGGCTGAGTAGCAGGGCCTGGGCCTCTCTGAGTGGCCAGGATGGCCACAGTCTTCCATGCAGCTCACAGACCTCCCTCTGTGACCTGCTTCCTAGACTTGAGGGTCTGTCAGCATGGTCAAGACTGGCCATGGACACATGGCCCTGCCTGGCAGGCCCTGTGCTTGGTGTCCTGCCAGCCTTGTGTATTTGTGTGCTCCAAGTGTGTCCAGCAGCTGGGGAGGCTCATGCCACCCCCTGCTGGAGGCATGGAGGATCTCCCCTCTAGATCCCAGGATGGCACTGCCTCTCCTGGCTCCAGGCCAGTGAACACTACGGTGGGCACCAGTCTTGGGCTCCCAAGGGCCACCTCTGTAGCCATGTGCCAGCCAAGCACCCACAGTTCCAAGGCTGGCCATGCTGGCACGTCTGGGCCACCATTTCCCACGGGCCACCTCCTCTGTTCTCTCACTGATCAAGTCTTTGAACTTTGAAAACGAGCTTTTGCCAAATATGATAGGATGGTGTGTGCGAGGCGGGCCCAGCCCCAGACTGCCTCTGTCCCCAGCCAGATGGCCTCTGTCTCCACAGTGGGCCTTGAGAGGCTTTGGGCTTATGTCCTAGAAACTGCCGAGAGCCGGGCCAGCCCCTTTCCCATGCCTGAGCCTGGAGTACCACCCCAACCCCAACTCCAATTGTTGTCAGTGTTTGTGCCCCAAGGTGTTTGAAAGTGGCCAGAGCTCAAGCTGGCTCACAGTTGCCTCTCTGATGTTGCTTCCTCCCCAATGTGGGTTCACCCCTGGAGGCCTGGCCTCCCAGCTCCCTCTCCCTGTCAGGAACACCCCAGCCTCTAAGGCTTCCCTTACCCCCAGGAAAAGGAGAGCCGCCCCCCCCCCCGCCCCTTTCTGACTCCCTCCAGCGAGGAAACAGGGCTTGGGCTCCACATCTCTTTCCAAATAGGCCGACAGTACTCTCCACCAGGCGTTCTGCAGCCTCCAAGCCTTTGGTCAGAAGGCCCTGGCATTGTGGCAGCCGTCGGCATCCACAGGGAATGTGCCAGGGTCCCAAACAGCCTCAGCCCAGGGTACCATTCTTCCTCTTGCGGTCACCAGTGGCCCAACCCTCTTGCTACCCTGGGCCTCGGTGTCCAGCCCTTCCAGATGCTTCTGGGGCCCTCCTGGAAGCATCCACCCATCTCAGTTACCTCCTCTGGCCAGAAGGCCACACCACTGTCCTCCAGAGCCACTCTGGGGCCCATACTGGCTGTCTGGAAGCCTAAAGAAGCAGCTTGCACCCAGAGCCCTGAGGGCTCTAGGGACTGGTCCATAGGAAGGGGTGGCACCAGGACCACCCCCCTCCCGTGTCCCTGTGCTGCAGCCTCCTGAACCAGCTCACCACACTGGGTGCAAAGGTATTGGATACCTGTTCCTCCCCAGGGCTTCACAAGACATGTCTCCAGGAATAGACATGTCACTGGCCCAGACGAGCCCTGGACAGAGGGACAAAGAGAGCCGTATTTGTAATGAGCTGCAGGGCTGTTTGTCCCGCATTTTAAACTTTTTGTTAAATTGTGAAATTATGGAGGAGTTTTATAGAAAATAAAGTGAGATGGGAGTAGTGGGTGGCCCACCTTTGATTCAATCAGCACTGGAAAGAGCCACACTAGGAGCCTGGCGGCGGGGTGGGGGGGCAGTTGTGCTTTTCCCTTGGGAACAGGTATTGAAGGCTGGTTACAGGCTTGGAGTTTGGAGTTGCAGAGGGGTGGGTGGGTCGACAGAAGGGTGGGAGTAGAGTGGAAGGAGGGCTCCTTTTGCAGGGACTCCCATGTTCCTGCACCTTGGTAGAACCTGTGAACCTCTGGTGTTACCCTCGCAGGACTTGTCTTCACAGACTTTGGATATGGGTGGCATACACAAACCCAAATCCTTGGCCACCATGCCCATGGGGCAGCCACCTCTGGAGTCCTATTAGCAGGTAGTAGCTGGGGATTCATGCTCAGCAGTGAAAGTGGACTCTTCTCTGGCCCCTAGGGCTTGACACTACCTTCCCAAACCACTTTATCAAGATACAGCCTGCCAGACATGGTTCCAGAAAGCTGTTGGTGTGCTGTCAGACCTGTGCTCACTCACTGATGTTTGCTGTCTACCCCAGGGGACAGGAGCCCTGTGTCTCTGCAGGGAGATCCATGGGCGACTCAAAAAATATAAGAGCTGGGAGACATTTAGAAAAAAAAAATCACTGTATAAGCCTGGGAACCTGGGTTCCATTTCAGAATCCACAGTCAATGTGTAACAGTGTGTGTGTTGGGAAATGCTGGTGTTGGGTCCCCTGGGACTAGAGCTGCAGGTCCTTGTGAACTGTGTAGTGTGATTGTGGGAGGGCAGCAAGCACTCACCAGCACTGAGCCCTCTCCACCCCCATCCCCAAACAAGGCAGCAAGAGGAGGCTCTCTGGGGCTCACTGACAGCCAGTGAGTTCAGTGAGAGACCCTGTTGTATTTTAAAAAGATGAGACAGATCCCAAATGAGAACAAAAGTTTGCTCTCTGGTCTCCACAAGCATACATGTGCACTGTTTTTATTAAAGACATGTATGCACATAAAGTTTGAATTTACTAAACTTGGACTTAGCAAAGTTTGTTGGGAATCTGGATCACTGAATAATACTGTCTGTGGCTATAACAAATTACCTGAGACTGGGTAATTTGTAAAGAAGAAAAGATTTGTGTGGCTTGCAGTTCCGAAAGTGAGTTCCAGTCAGGCCGCTACATCAGCTTGTCTTCTGGCAAAGTCTTTATGTACGTTCTATGAGTGCCTGAAGAGTTGGTGCGCGCATCAAGAGAGAGGTCTGAGCTCTCATAACATGTTCCCAAGAGGAAAGAAGGAAGTCACCTCTGAGGGCTGTACACCCAGAATCCCCAAGCCCTCCCAACAGCCATGGAGAGCCAAGCTCTGAGAGTGCTGCTGAGGACAGACCATGTTCAAGCTGCAGCATGGCCCTCTTCACACTCTAGCTCCTGCTTGACCCATCAGCCATTTTTGTTACAGAACTCCTGATCCTCCTGCCTCTTGCTCCTGAATGCTGGACTGGCAGGTGTGCACCCCCACACTGGTCTGTATGGTACTGAGGATGGGAGCCCAGGACTCTGCACTAGCTGAGCACTCTGCCCTGCATTGAGCAGCAGCCTGTGGTAGTACTTACTCAGCTGATGTCCCAGTGGTGGTGATGTTATCCCTTGAGGGGTCAATGATGTTCTCATGTGAACATGATTGCTATCCTGGAGGTCATCCCCTCCCCTGAACTCACCATATTCTTTCTCATGTGTGTTCTAGCTAATGTCCCCTACTTATGACACAGCTACAGGACCATACCAAAACCTCGCCTCGAAACTTTACCATGAACCACTAGTCTGTCTCACACAGGTGTCCCTTCCTGCTAATGCTGGTCTGGACTGCCAGAATTGTCTAGATCACCATCTCCACCTCCAGACAGGTACAAGAACTACCCATACTCAGGGGTTTTTTGTTGTTCTTTTTTTTTTCTCTTGAGGATGAAGTGTCTTCCAAGTTATAAGTCAGGCTGGGAGCCAGAAACCCGAGCTGGGCACTTTGTTGTCACAACTTCCTGGGTAACTGAATGTGAATTCACTCCAGATAGGGTCCCCATGATGGACCAAAGACATCAGCTAGCTTAGAGAGTCAGGGAGATTGCTGAGGATACTTGGACTGTCACCTGTGAGCCCACTCCAGCATGGGTGCCCATTCCAAGCTGTCTCTGCTGACTTGCCACCCTCCCAGCCATCGTGACTGCATACGCCATGTGTGGATGGGGCCTCAGGAAACTTGTTTCTTCCAGAACCTTCTGAGTGTCATTTCTTCCTACATTTTAATAAGACTTACAAGACACCAGGAAATGTGTTCCATTTCCTCTGTTGTAAATTGTGTGCACGGACTGCCCCAGCTCATAGGACGTCCCTAGCTCCCATCAGAACTTGTTCAGCCATGTGTTCCAGGACTACTTCAGCACATGCTGTCTTGAACACATCACACGCCTTTAATCCCAGCACTAGTGAGACAGAGGCCAGTCTGATCTACATAGTGAATTCCAGGGCATCCAGGACTACATAGAAACCCTGTCTCGGAAAACCAAAAACCCAAGAATTTAAGCTTATTAATGTAGTTTGAGGTGTTGAGAGCATGGATTGGGGGTTGGCGGACCCAGGTGGTTCTGATGAAGATAGCATGAGATCTCCTGAACCTGCCCCCTAAACTTCATGCCCAAGGGCTGCTGTCAGGTCCCTTTGCTGGAATTGCACCTGCTGGAAGCATTTGCTCTGTCTCTAAGAAAAATTGTAACTGTAGGTCTCAGAAATTCCTCAACTCATTTAGTATAGTGTATAAGTGGATTAGGAGAAGCGGCTCAGTAGTTAGGAGCATTTGCTGCTCTTGCAGAGGACCCACATTCATTTTCCAGCACCACATGGCAGCTCACAACACTTTGTAACTCAAAATCACCAGTCTAGAATACCCAGTGAGGGGCTGGGGGCGTGGTCAGGATGGAGCTCCCGCCTAGGATCCCCAATGAGGGGTTGGAGGCCTGACTGAGAACTATCCTAGTGTAAGGGCCTGGGCTCCAGACTACAACCAAGGGAATAAAAGAGTGTAGTTTTCAAAGTAAAAATAAAGTCTAGGGTGGGAGCCATTTCAGTTTTGGGAGTTTTGCTTGAGGTGTCAACATGATCCCTGGGTCAGAAGTCACTACAATTTAGGATGTTACCCAAGCATCTGAGTGGCCTCTGGGCCCTGCTGAGCGCTGGGCAGTGTCCCAGACTTCCACCCACTTCACACCAGTCATGACAGTTAGATGTCACACAGTGTCCCCTGACAAAATCACCCCTGGGTGAGAGCCACCACTTCACCGAACACATTTAATTATTCCTTTACAATTGGTTCCAACACTAGAGGGCAGGATATGCCTTCTGCTCAGGCCCTCATCCAGAGCACGTCCCCCACTGTAGAAATTGTCCCTTAATAGGCAGAATGAAAACCACGAACTACCAGCACCTGCGTGAAGACGGGGTGCACAGGACTGCTAGGTGCTCGTCTCATATAATTTCTGGATGTCCTCCTGGTATATCTTCGCCACAATGTGCCTGTTCATTTTGGACAAGGGCCCTGTGATGAAAGCAAGGCTGTGAGAGCCTCCTCGTATTCTACCCCTTGTTCTTCACAGAAGCCTGAGCCATGTGCATGTTAGGGGTGCATGGGAACTGGGGTAGGAGAGCGAACTGGAGAGTAGAAACCCACTTTAAGGCACTTCGTGAGTCCTTTCCTTCAGTTATGGGCCAGTGGTTAAAACAGGCATAGAGACGCCACCCCAGGGACCCGTGACCCAAACAGCCTTGCGCAGTATTTTGTGGGCCCAGCCCAAAGTCCTCCAACACTCAGATGCTGCCTCTGCACCCTCAAGAAAGTCAGGAATTATGTCTGGAGTTGACCCATCTTCATTTGTGATGAAGGTGTTGGGATTGGGATCAGCACACTGCATTTTGTACAAGCAGGGATTGAGTGTTGGAGGTGTTTTTAAAGGTTTATATTACAGTTTGTATCCCTGTGTGTGCATATGGAGGCCACAAGTGGGCGTCAGATCCCTGGAGTTGGGGTTAGCAGGTGGTTGTGAGCTGCCCAGTGTGTGTGTAGCCACTGGGAACTGAACTTGGATCTTCTCCAAGAGCAGCAGATCCTTTTAACCTCTGAGCCATCTGGTTCCAGATGTGGGAGTGTGTGCTTATCCGGCCCAGGAGGGTGTCAGATGTCATGCTCCATCACTCTCAGAAGGGCTCTTGCTCAACCCTGAGCTAAGCTGGTTGGCAGCAAACCCCAGGGATCCTCCTGTCTCTGTCCCCACAGCACCCGTTTTTACGTGAGCCCATGTGGTCCTCATGCACCAGCTCCCTTAGCCCACCTAGCTAGCATCTCCTGAGCTCCCAATGGGTTTGGTTTGGTTTGGTTTTTTTCCCAAGGCCCTGGCTGTCCTAGAACTCACACTATAGACCTGTATAGTCTATATACCTATATAGTCTATTCAAAGGCTGGCTTTGAATTCACAGAGATCTGCCTGCCTACCTCTGCCTCCTGAGTGCTAGGTTAAAGGTGTGTACCTCTACTTCTAGCCCCACCCCCAGTTTTTGGAACCAGTCTCATTCTTTGACCTGGTGCTGACCAAGTAGGCTAAGATGATGGTTCAGGGAGAGCTAGGGATTCTCCAGTCTCAGCCTCCCCAGCCCTGGGAGAAAACTCAGTGGTTAGAGCACCGGCTGCTCCTGCAGAGGACCTGGGTTCGGTTCCCAGCACCCACATGGTGCCTCACAACCACTTTTGACTCCAGTTCCAGGGAATCTGATGCCCTTGTCTTGCCTCTGTGGGCACAGGACAAACATGGTAGATCATTCATACATTTACACACGTAAAAATAAAAGTAATTTTAAAAGTCAAACAGCATGCCCCTGGTTTGTTGTTTGCTTGTAAATGGCTTCTGGGGACTCAAACTCAGGTCTTCATGGTTGTGCAGTCAGCACCCTTACAAACTGAGCCATCTCCCCAGCCCCAGTGAGACAGTCTCTCACTCTTGTTCTACCCTGGGCAGCCCCTGAACTCTAGATTCTCCTGCCCGGCTTGCAAGTGCCCGGCTCCTAGGTGTGTACCACCACACTTGTTTTAAATGTGTTTTGTTGGAAAACTCAGCTCGAGCCACATGACCACAGACCATTCCCATACTCAGTGGAAGCCTGGGGCTAGGAGGCTGAGCGAGTCCATGACCCACCCATGCCTGCCATTCACTCACCGAGCTCCCCACCGCCAACAGAGAAATCGCTGTCTAGAATGACCCAGTTAATGATCTTGGCGCCCGCCGAGGGTGCCTCCGCATTCACGTCCTGGATGCCCTGGTTGATGAACTCTGTGACCAAGGGGTCACGGTTTTCTAGGATATCTGTCAACCAGGTGGACTGGCTCCGCAGCTTCCGGCAGCAGGCCACGGCCTCGCTGGTCAGGGCACCCCGAGCCTCTCCAGTCTCCGGATTGATCTGACACTGAGAAGGCAGGTGGGCAGAGTTGGTGTTCTGTGAGCATCCTTCCGGGCCCATTCCCATGGTACGCGCGTCCTTCAGGCTGCAGCCAGTGCGTCAGAAAGTCCCGCCGAACCCACTAGGAAGGGGCAGAGCATGCAGCTCAGAGGTCATGCAAGCTTACAGAGGCATCTGGGAGTCAGTTCTTGCCTTCCACCGTGTGGGTCCTGGGGATCGAACTCAAGTCATCAGGCTTGGCAGCGAGCATCCTTACCCACTGAGAGCTCTCAAGTGCAGCCCACCTTCCTCAGCCAGGCTGTGGTTGATATCCTCAACTTGGTGCCTTGATGCCAATGGCCCTATATTCATGCTTTGAGGGACACTGGTCTACAGGGAATATTCTAGATTCTTCTCTGCTCTCAAGCACTCTGCACCTCTCCACAGAACCCACAACTCCTCATGAAAGCTGCTAAAGGGTAAATGTTCAGTGTTGATGGAACAGGATCTGCAGTCACTATGACAACACACCACTGGAGTTGTGTCTGGGTTTCCAGCATAACTGAGATGAAAAGGCACGTTCTGAATGTGGACAGGGGTCCCTGGGGTGACTCAGTGGGTGAAGGCCCTGTGAGACCAAGGCAGTGGGTTCCATCTCTGGGACTGTGTACCGGTGGGAGGAGAGAATGCATTCTACACAGGTGCTGTGGTACATGAACACAGACACTCATAATAAAAAAATTTTTAAAAATTAAGCCAGACGATGGTGGTGCACACCTTTAATCCTAGAACTCAGGAGGCAGAGGCAGGCGAATCTCCGTGTTCGAGGTCAGCCTGGTCTACAGAGTGAGTTCCAGGACAGCCTGGGCTACACAGAAAAACCCTTTCTTGAAAACTAAAACCAAAACAAAATTGTGTGTGCGCGCGTGCATGCGCGTGCATGAAATTCAGAGGGCAACATCAGTGCATTCCTCTGGCACTGTCCTTTTTTAGTTTGAGACATGGTCTCTCACTGGCCTGCAGACTCACCGGTGTCCCCAGCACTGGACCGTACAGAGTGCTCCAGCATGCCCAGGCTCACACAGTACTCGGCTTATCCATGGGCTGTCTCCCCTTGCCCTTCAATGCTCTGGTTAGGTATTTAGTCACTAAAGTGGTGACTGAGGAGCTGAATGACTCCCATCTAGCCCATCTCATTCGGTACTGTCAGAGCCTTGCTCTGGGGGAGCCACTGGGTACCTTTAATGTGAGGAGGGCACACAGGTATGGGGCATCCTGGCCCACCAGCATCACGTAGCGCACAATGGGGATGCGCATCTTCACTCGCTCCTCAATGGGATGCGGGTTGACCACTTCGCCCGAGCTCAGTGTGATTGTATCTGTGGCAGGAATGAGAAGGCACATGGAATGGTTTCTGGGGGCTGTCGTGGGGGACATCCCCTGACATCCCCTCCTGGAGGGAGTGGGGCCAGCTGTTCTTCCTTGCGTCGTATGCAGTCTGCACCTCTGTGCCATGTTCCTCACCGTTGTTGTTCCCCGTGACATAGAGAAACTTGTCGACATCCAAGAAGCCCAGGTCGTTTGTGTGTAGCCAGCCCTGGTTGTCCATTTTCTTCTCTGTACTTTCCTTGTCGTTGAGGTACCCCATGAAGATGTTTCGGCCCCACAGACACAACCTCCCGATGCCTTCGTGGTTCTCTTTTTCCACCTTTGTGTGACAGTTGGGCAGTGCCTTCCCACAGCTGTGGGTGTGGAGGGGATAGCAGGGATGGCATGCTCCCCCACCAGGACATGTTATCCCTAGAGCCTCCCCGTCTCTTCCTCTCCTACTCCTTTACTGTCTCAGTCTAAACAAAACAGTGCAGAAAAATATGAAATAATTAAGGTTAAGGCACCAAAGTGCAGTCAGGACATACAACCAAATGTCCCCCTGCCTCCTCAGGATCAGACAGAGGCCAGGTAGGCTGTTCATCCACCTCTCTCCACTAGGGGCATCCTAAACAACCAATCAGAATGGGTTTGCTGTTTTAGGATTCAGCCCAAAGCTGGATGTGATGGCACCTGTCATCACAGTGCTTGGGAAGTTGAAGCAGTAAAGTTTACTGTAAGTGTGAGACTAACCATAACTGTGCAGGAAGATCCAGTCTCAGAAAACAAAATGCAACAAAGCCAGGGAAGGGGTGGGTTTTGGTGGCACACACCTTCCATCCCTCGACTTAGAGACAGAGGAAGGCAGATCTCTGAGTTCAAGGACAGCCTGGTCTACAAAGCGAGTTCCAGGACAGGCTCCAAAGCTACACAGAGAAACCCTTCAAAACTAATGTGTCTTGCCTCATGCACAACCCGAAGCAATGTGTACAGAGGCCCCATCTCCCACTCTGTTGCCAGGCTTGCTCTGAGGGAGGTTGCCCTTCCCAGCATCTGCTTGGTACTCAGAGGGACCTGGATTCCACCTCCTCTCACCTCTGCCCCTCACCGCAGAGAGAAACGTCCAGAAGAAAGGTGAAGGGACGCTCAGGGGTAGCCTGGGTCCCGGGGACCCCTGACCAGCTGCTGTCCCGAGGGGTGGGGAGGAGACAGAGCCCCCCACCCGACCCACCTCGGGAGCCGGAAGGCCTGGTAGCTGGACAGAGAGTGAAGTCCGCTGGACTCGGTCATGCCGTACAGCTGAAAAACGGGGATGTCCAGGCTAAGGAAGAAGTCCACCGTGGCCTTCGACAGCCCCAGGCCGAAGTTCAGGAACTGCTGGCAATGGTTGAGACCCAGGAACTTCCTGGCAGGGTCGAAGGTCACCCTCTTGGCCAGGCCAAAACACAGTGGCTGGTGGATCTGCCTTTAGAAGCGGAGCCATGGCCACGGTGTGATCGCTGCCCCACCCCCGGTCTCCGTCCTCCCCGCCCCCAACGCCCGCTGTACCCTTGCAGCCGCCTCCTGTTGGTGCTGAGTCCCACACGCATGGCCCAGCGGTCGATCTTCCTGCGGAAGGCGGTGGAGTCCAGGTGTTTGGTCTTCAGGTTGTCCAACATACGGTCCCACACCCACGGGATGCCGCAGAACGTGGTGGGCTGGACCTCGCGGAGCATCTCTGTCAGGAAGCCCTGGATGGGACGGGATGGGGCGCTGGGGGACCCTCACGCACACAAGGGTCAAGCTTCAGCGTGGGGGCCAGGATGGGGCCAAGGACAGCACAGGTGACAGGCAGCATCAGGCCACAGAGGCCCCTGTCCCGAATGAGGGAGAGAAGAAAAAGAGGGCCAGAAACTGGGAGGACAGAGGCTGCACCAGCTCTTGTTGGTTTGCCCCATGCTCATACCTGCCTCAGCTGGCCCAGAGATGGCAAAGGTTCCCCAGCCCCCCCCCCCCCCCCCCGGTCCTTTGCTGCTCTCACCCCCAGAGCTCACCGTGCCAGGGGCTCGTGGTGGCCCATTCCACTTCCCTGCCTCGGATGAGGGGAAGTAGACTGTTCCAGCCACGGAGATGGCCACCCACACATCCAAGATCTGGACCCCAGCATAGCAGAGCGGCAGGTAGCTCACAAGGACCTCCTGACCATCAGGTGGACACTTGTACCCCAGGCTCTGAACGGTAGCTGCTGTGGTCCATGTGATCTGAAAGGCACTTCTCTAAGTCAGGCCTGGGTCCTTAGTTCCAAGAGCCACCACGCTGGGCCGATCCTTCCTGTCCCTTGGGGAGCATCACTCACATTGTCGTGGCTGAGCATCATGACCTTTGGGGCCCCTACAGTGCCCTGGTTGTACACCAAAGCACAGCACTGGTTAGGCTTCTGTGAGTCGATGATATGGTCCAGTTTTTCATCCGAGATGCCATCTGCGAGGTCCAGGAAGCCTTTCCACTGTAGAAAGGCTAATCAATGGGCTTTGGGGAAGTCGAGGCTAGCCCAGAGACCTGCCCAGCCCAGCCCAGCCACCTCAGCTCCATTTGTACACTGGAATATCAGGAAAAGGAAAGCCATTTGATACATGTTCCAAAATGGAGGAACTACGAGAACATAGTGCCAGACATGTAAGAACACACACTTAAAGAATCCAATCCCACTTGGGGTGGGGAAATTAAAAAAAGAAAGAAAGGAAGGAAGGAAGAAGAAAGGAAGGAAGGAAGAAAGAAAGAATCCCACTTTGGCTTTACTGGACTCTCAATGTCACCCAGCACCAGGCTTGGCCTCTCTGTCTGGGCCTGTGGCTGGCTTTCCACCTCTGACGTCCCTGTCTAAGCATACCGAGTATAGATTCGGCTGTACTTCCTGGATGTCTTCTCTGTATTGTACAATGGCCTTGAGATGCTTCAGGTAGCCCTGGATCTGCAGGACACCGTGGGGTCAACACCAGAAGTGGTGGGGATGCCTGTAGCTCAGGCTGGACTCAAACTCACTATGTAATAATGGAAAGTGATCTTGAAATCCTGACTGCTCTTACTACCATGGACGGTTTCCATGGTGCTGGGCATGGAACCCAGAGCCTCATCCATGCCAGGTGAGCTCTGCCCACTGAGCTCAGTCCCGGTGGTGACATATGATAAAACTTCCTAGTTTTATCATGTGTATGTATATGTACATCTGCATTGCTCATGTGCAAAGTGGAGGTCCAAAGGGGGCGTCAGATCCCTGGAACTGGAGCTACAGTAGGTGGTCCCGAGCCACTGTGTGTTTGACGAGAACCGAACTGGGGTCCTCTGCAGGTGCAGCCAGCAGAATGCTGCAGTGCACCTGCTTCTGAGCCAGCTCCTAGACCCCTGCCTCAGCTGACTTTCTAGTTTATGGTGCGGAGCCTCACATATGCCAAGCAGGCCCCACTGCTGAGACACGCCACCAACCCGGTTTCTTACCATTCGTTTCTATTTTATTTCATTTCTGACTCTCTCTCTCTCTCTCTCTCTCTCTCTCTCTCTCTCTCTGTGTGTGTGTGTGTGTGTGTGTGTGTGTGTGTATACACATGCACGAACGCGCATGCTCACACATGCATGGCATTGGTGTTTTCCTCTATTGCTCTCCAACCATAGAATTTTTAAAATTTACTTATCTTGCTGTGTGCAGGATGCAGGCATGGCCATCTGGGGTCTCAGACCCCACGGACTGCCCAAGAGAGTCCCCAGATCTACATACCTGAGTGAAGGGGCACGAGTTCACTCAAACATGTGGCTCTGGCAGGCCTGGCCTTTCTCCCCCACTCCCTCTGCCTTGCTAGAAATCATTAGATTGCATTGCTAAAGCTACACGCCAAGATCTGCTCCCTCATTTGCCCACTTTCTCCTACTGTGACTGACTATCAAGGTCCAGCTATCAAAGTATAGAAGTCCATCAGTCAGAACCTCACCTAATTAACATGGCCAATTAAAATTAAACACCTCTTCCTATCAGAGTTTCCTGTTTTACCTTTATAAACCGCAATTTTCCTATTGGCCACATCTGTCTCCTGTATCCAGAGGCAGTTCTGTCCTTTGTCCTCCGGCCGGGACAAATACCCTGCCACTCTTCCTGCTTCCTTCCCCTGCCTTCTTTCTCTTTGTCACTTTCCCTGCCTTCTGTCCTCCTGGGCAAATAAATATCCTCTCTGTTGAGAACTCGGTTTTGGGGTGTCTTATGCCGATGCCTGTCCTTTCATTGAGAGCACCCCAGAGGCTCTCACCTGGTTAACTTTCTGGAGCTGTTTGTCATTGTCCACCACGAAGATGTCCATCTCTGCGGCTTCAGCGATGACCTGGCAGGCTTTGGGCGAGTTGCTGCACAGGATGCCCACAGAGATGCCGCTGGAAGCAGAATTCAGGGGTGCAGACCTCGTGAGTGGAGGCTTTGGGGAACTGTGTGGTTCTTGGGGGCTTTCATACCTCCTTGGAAGGTGGGGTTCAGGGTAACCCCTTTCAAAGCTTCCACTAATGTTCCATGTGAGCTCAGGGATGGCTCAGTGCTAGGATATTGAAAGAACTAAGGAAGTATATCTAGAGGAGGGGGCGTGAATGTTGGGCTCCAGAGGGTGTATATGAGTTTGATGGGGGAAGAGAATGTCTGGAAGGGAGAATGAGCATACTAAGGGCTGTGTCATTGACAAACCCTGTCAAGAATTGACTTGCACCTGGGACAGGCTGAGTGCCCCTTACCCTGCCATGATGGCTCCAATGCTGGCAATCACCCACTCCGTGGAATTGAAGCCCATTATACCCACGCCATGGAAGCGTTCCAGGCCCACCTGAGAGAGGAGACACCTTTGAGAGACTCAGCTCAGCTATCCTCACCCTGACTTCACAGGAGTCTTTAACTGGTAATCTCAGTCTCCTTCTCTGGACCATTTGTTCTCTAGCTCCAGGTGCCATATAGTAGTAATGCTAAGCAGGGCATCTCCACCACACTCTTCTGTACCTGTTTGTCCACCCACCCATCCACCCATCCATCCGTTCATCCGTCCGTCCATCCATCCACCCATCCATCCACACATCCACCCACCCATCCACCCATCCATCCACCCACCCACCCACCCACTCATCCATCCACCCACCCACCCACCCATCCATCCGTCCATCCACCCACACATCCATCCATTCATCCATCCACCCACCCATCCATCCATCCACCCACTCATCCATCCATCCATCCATCCACTCATCCACCCATCCACCCACCCATCCATCTACTCATTGTCATCTCCGATGTTTCCCCACTCACCAGGCTGTATCTTTTGCATAGCATGTAGCCTCTGGTCCAGGGCCTTTGCATGCTGTGTGCCCTTGGCTTGGTATGTTCCTCCCTAGATTTCCCGATAGCTGCTTCCCCCACTTGGTTGAAATTTTACTGTCAGTGAAACCCTCCTTGGCTATCACGCTTTAAAAATCCACCCTAACTCCTGCTCTTTCTTGGTCAGGCTCCAGATCCCCCATCCTGACCTTATTTACCAGTCTGACCGGGAAGGTCACTTCAGGTTTTGTGTCCTTCCCCATTCTGAAGGGTGGACGTTTTTAAAATCATTTACTCAACAAACGCCAGAGGGTGGAATGGTAACTTCCAGTGGAAATTAACAAAGATGCCATCGCAACACCAGGTAGCCAGAAAGACGGGGCAAGGAGATGGCTGTGCTGGCAAAACACATAAGACACGTTCAATCATGCGTTGACGGAGAGTTTTTAACAGCAATCATTCTTTCTTAAAAGACATAAGTGGGTGTTTGCCTGCATTTGTGCCTGTATGCCGTGTGCACCCACAGAGGTGAGAAGGGGCATCTGGGTCCCTGGAGCTGGAGCGACAGACAGTTGGGAGCCACTACGTGGAGGCTGGGAACTGAACCCTGGTCCTCTTCAACAGCAGCCCGTGCGCTACCGCTAAGCCACAATTCCAGTCCCTATTTCTCTATATTACATGTAGGAAGGCATACACTATACACACAACACATATGCCCTGTGTGAAAGTTCTCATATTTATGAGTATCACATGCTAGATTTCAATATTTATATGAATATATTTAGCCATATGATATGGCAGTATACATGTGGCATACCTGATAAAGCTCTGCATTTTATACACTTGTAAGATTAAAAGACACAAAATACATGTAATACAGAAACTTGGAAAATTACCCTCCAGCTCTATGCACTCACATTAATGCACGTCAGCTATGCAGAATGACTCTTGTATGTGAGGAAACTGAGGTAGAGAGTGGCAAATAATCCACGTGACTAATGGCAGGTGTGACCCTCAGTGGCGTGAATGAGCAACCGGAAGTAGAGGGTGACAGTAGCCACCTCACGCGGCCCCATGCCGCCGGCGGCGCAGGTGGGGTGCGCACGCGCAGGCGCAGTACCTTGAGGAAGGCCTTGGCTGCCCGTCGGCAGGCCTCGTAGTATTCGATGTAGGTGAGCAGCTGCCAGTTCTTCTTGTACTTGGTGCCTATCGCCAGGTAGTGCGAGTACTTGGTGGCAGCGCTCATGATTAGGTCGGGCACGGTGACCGGAGGCTCATTCTCCACATTCTTGCCCATGCGCAGCTTTACCTCGCCATCGCGCTCTGCTGTCCAGTAGCAGCTACCTGTGGCAGGGTCAGAGATCACTCCATGGGACGGGAGGAGGGATGGTGGTCACTGTCCCCAGCACAAGAGGGCATGGGGTCAGAGGTCATTCCTCCCCCCACCCCGTGAAGGTTGGACCATAGAGGTCAGGGGTCACTGTCTCCAAGAGGACAGGCCAAAAGACAGGAGAGTTGATGTTCCCTGTCCCCTGACCCACAGAAAGGAGGACATGGAGTCCCGCGACTACGATCACAGGTCGACAAGGTCTGGATAGTTGGTAACCTGGCCACAGATACCATCCTTCCCCGGTACAGCTGCCCCCTTCACAAGGTCCACCCACCCTCGGACCTCTGCTCCCTGTCCCACCAGGAAGTGTGCCAGAGTGAGAGGACTCCCAGGGACCCCGTGCTGGCCCTGCCACCCTCTCCCAGCACACGAGGTAGCAGGCCTCCCACCTGGGGCCTTTGTCTCTGAGTCTCGAGATCTGTATGACTTCTTCATCATTTTGCTGTAAATTTTGGTCTTCAGAATGGCTTTTGCTGCCTGGACGGGATGGCCACCCTCTGGGTCACCTTGTTCCTTAGGGTCAGACATCCTCTTGACAGGGACCAGGTGACAGGAGTCGGTTTGGGGGGGTCAGGTGTACACAGCAGAGGTCCTGCCCCTCACAGAGTTAAGTAGACAGTAGCAGAGTTGGCCCGGCAAAGAAAGGAACCTGCAGACCAGCTGTGGGTGTTGGCACAGGAGACGAAACAAACTGGGTGTTAGCGAGGGCATTTCCTGCGTGGGTGGTGTGTGCAGGCGTGTTGCAGCCAGAGGTTGTAGGCGTGTGTCTTCCTCAGCCACATCGTCGGTCCCCCACCATGCCCCCGACCCAAGCCTGTTGTCGGCTGGCTGCTAGTGAGAACTAGGGCTCCTCCTCTCTCAGGGGTGTGCTGCACACTCGGCTTTTACCCGGGGGTGGGGACTGAACTCAGATCCTCAGGTGAGTAGCTACGGGAGACCCTGGGGAAGGAAGGAGGCGGCAAGAATGGGGTTTCTCAGAACCTTCGGTGCCTAGGACTGCTGCCAGGTGCTTCCCGAGAGAGGCTGGGACTCCTGGACCTTCAGCCTTCCCTCTCCCCACAGGCCTCACTGCCTTCTCATCGGCAGGACAGTGGTGACCCCCGTCCAACTCTCTCACCACCTCCCGCTTTAGCCACAGAGACAAGAAGCACCCAGAATGGATGTCCTCGGGAACAATTCCCTTCTGCAGCCCAGCCCTTGTGACATCACTGCGTTCCATGAGCCAGGGTCGCGATGGCAATGTGGCCCAATGCCCCTTTTCAAGACGCTAGCTCTGGGGGACAAGAACAGGTGCAGGAGAGGAGACTTCGCCTAACTGCCACCAGCCAGGGAGCTCCCAAAGCCCTGGTCCCCAAGGCTGGTGGCAAAGTTTTGGGTTCTGGTCTGAAAGCCTGTGGGACTCCAGTGTCCTAAGGGCATGTCGGCCTACATGAGACCCTGTGTCAAAAAACTTAGAATGACCCTGCGATCTTGAGTCCCCCTTCTGGGCATTTCAAAAGAAGGGACTTGGGGACGTTCCATATCCATATCCACGTGGCAGCTGCCCTGGTCCATGCTCACTGAGAGATGAGGGAGGGAGGGTGTGGGCTCCCCAGTCTCCAAGAGGACATCTGACAATACCCACCCCAACAAGGAGGAGCAGTAACGACACAAAGAAATGTCCCAGATGAGGGTATGGCCCCCAGGGCCCACTTGGAGGCTCCTTGAGCCAGTCACAGACAGGAAGTGCTTGGAGGGGTCCTCGGAGGGTGGGGGTTTGGGACCGAGCACTGAACTGGGGCAGAGCTTCAGTGTGGAGAGCCAGAAGGAAGGTTCCAGTACTGAACAGTGACGGGGTTTGTTACACAGTGTGAATGTGTTTTGTTTGTGTGAGGCAGGGTCTCACTTAGCTGGGACTGCCTTTGAATTCCCTCCGTGTCCAAGGATGACCTTGAACTTCTGATTCTCCTGCCTTCCCTGGTGTTGGGAGTACAGGTGTGTGCCACCACACCCAATTCATGTGACACTTGGCGTGGGCCTGGGCCTTATTCATTCTGTGCAAGCACCACCCAGATGCGATGGTAGGTGTGTGTGTGTGTGTGTGTGTGTGTGTGTGTGTGTGTGTGTTTGCTTTAGGACTCCCAACAGGTACTTGAATGGGCCTGTCTGGTTTCATTCATATTTCTAACCTGTGTAAGGCACAATGCCCAGCCCCAGAGCTGTAAAAAGAAACGTAAACAAAAACCTCACAAACACAAATGCATGAATGAGAGGGTGGGTGAGTGATTGGCTAGGTGAATAGATAAGAAAGTACTTGCAGGGTGAATGCTGGGTAAAGGGAGCCCACACTTCCCCTTTCCTGGAAGCACCTTCCTCCTGCAGCTGGGTGCAGGAGACAATGGCTAGTGATGTCACAAGGGGTGACCTGAGAGGAAGGTTCCAGAAGCCTGAATGGGGTAAAAGCTTTGTGGGGCAGGAAAAACCCATCTACCCTCGTCCCACCCTCCACCATCACCATCACCCTGGCTAGACTGAGGGCGTGACCAGTGCTTCTGGGGTGACCTGCCGCTGACCAACTCTGTGCAAGGAGGAATATCTGCGTGACCATATGTCTCCACTTGTGACGCCTGGCCACCTCGGCCAGAGTGGCATCTTGTGAAGGATGGTGCTTGGTAAGGTTCCAGAGATGATCCCCACGTAGGGCACGTGACCATTTCAGAACAGAACCCACACTAGGGAAGGCAGAGAAGTTCAGTTTTTCCCCACAGAGGGAAGATGGCTTTGAACTTCTGATGCTCCTGTACTTGCTCATGGAATGAGGCTTGAGTTTAGGTTCCTAGACACACACAAAAGCCAGGCACAGTTGGGCCCTTCTGCAAACCCAGGACCTGCAGTGTCAAAGGTAGGGGTGCAAGGTAGAGGCCGCCCGCCCTGTCGTGGGTGCTGTAGCAGGGTGCATTGTCCTGAAGTCTGTGGGACTACACAGGTGGTGTCTGAAAGCCACTGTGTACATGTGTGCATAGAAGCCAGAGGTCAGCTTGACTGCCGTCCTTCCGGCACCATTCACCCTGTGTTTTGAGACAGGGTCTCTCATAGAACTGGGAGTTTGCTAAGTGGATTGGGTGGCTGGCAGTGAGCTCCAGCAATGCCCTGTGTCTGCCTCTCCAGAGAGGGGTTACAGATGCATGCAGCCACACCTGGGACTTGGCATGACTGCTGGTGTTTCAAACTCGGGTCCTTGTGCTTGGACTGCACACATTTACCCACAGAAACATCGCCTCAGACCAACCTTGCTCTTGAGCTATGTTTTGTTTTGTTTTGAGACAGGGTCTCTCTGTGTCGCCCTGGCTGTCCTGAAACTTTCATCTGTAGACCAGACTGGCCTTGAACTCACAGAGATTCACTTGTCTCTGCCTCCCAAGTGCTGGGATTAAAGGTGTGGGCCACCACCGCCAGGCAGCTTTTTATATTTCTAACCTTGTGGAGAATTAAAATGTTTTAATTATAGTTATTGTTCAAGAGCAGGTCCTGCTGCCTGTGACTCTGCTCACTGCCTTCCAGACAGCTGTGGTCACAGCGGGCCCCTACCTGGCAACAGACTTTTACAACTTACTTTATTATTAGTGTGTGTGCCTGTGTCACACGTGCGCCATTGCACACGTTAGATGTCACAGGACAACTTGGGGCAGTTTGTTCTATCATGTTGGTCCATCATGTTGGTCCGAGGGACTGAACTCCCTACAAGCTGTCTGGGTGGTCCATTGAAAATTCTGAGGAAAAGAGAGGAGAGAAGAGGGATGAGAGGAGAAGGGGAGAAGTTTGTGAGATCCTCACCACTGAATACCTTCCAACTTAGAAATCGTTCCGGGCTGAGACCACGCAGTCTTGAGCCAGGGACTTGGAGACATCACAGCGGACAGCGGTCTGCTCCTCTGCTCTTCTTGCCAAAGTTCATCCATTCCCCTCATTGACTCAGCAGCTGTGCAGCGTGTGACGCACGCTTCTTGTGACCTGGAAAGACTGAACCACCAATGGCTCAAGAAAAGAAGGTGGAGGACCCCGAGAGAGGCATAGATGCCACCCCAGGTCTGTGATGGCCAGGGAGCACTGGGGAGGGGATAGACGCCTCAGTCAGCAGGGCTCAACCAAGCTTGTCTGACCTGCCGGGCTAGCGCAGTCTTTCTGGTTGGGTATGAAGTAGCAAGCAATCGGCAGTTTGAAGTTTGGTCACTTGGGTCACAGGTGACACCTAGGGGCCTTTGTTACTTACGTATTATCTAGCTTCTGATGTGATGATAAGACTGGCCGAAGAGGGAGAGGGTCACCTGAGGTGGGTGACCCACAGCCCAGGCGTGCCACAGGTGCAGTCTGGACAGCTCCCCACTGAGGTTTACCAGGCTGTTCTAAATAGCGGCAGTTGACAAAACTAATCACGCAGATACTTTTTTTTCTTTCTTTTTTTCTTTTTTCCTTTTTTCCAAGACAAGGTTTCTCCATGTAGCCAACCTTGAACTCACAGAACTCCACCTGCCTCTGCCTCCTGAATGCTGAGATTAAAGGAGTGTGCCACCACTACCCTGCTCACACAAATACTTTTTTAAAAAAGGCTATATGGGGCTGAAGAGAGGGTTCGGTGGGTAAGATCCCTGGCTGCTCTTCAGAGGACTTTGGCTCCCTTCCCAGAATCTGTGTGGTAGTTCAGGATTGCCTGTAACTCTCTGACGCCCTTGCCACACCTTCATGGCCATCAGCCACAGACATACATTCAAACACAATGTTCTTAAACGTAAAATTTGAAAAAAGGTTGTGTGCGTGCATGTGTGTGCATGTGAGCAGGATCACACGTATCTCCACCATGAGGAGCTGTGATAGTGCCGGGGTGTGGGTGACAGCCCAGGAGCCATTCGTGTTAGTCACTTGTGGTCATTATGCAGGGACCTGAGCAAACCTCTGCTTACCCCTGCACCAGCCCTTCTCAGAGAATTGGGGTGAGTGGCAGCTTCTGTGACCCCTTCTCCGCCAGTCCTGATCTTGCAAGAACGCATCTCGGGGCTTGGGAGATGACTTCACAAGCATGGGGGCCTGAGTTGGACCCAGAGCCCATAGCCACATGCGGTGGCTCCCGACTGTGACCCCAGCACTGGGGAGACAGAGACTGGAGGATCCCTGGGGCTCCCTGGTTCCAGCCCAACCAGTCAGGGAGTTTGGGTTCAGTGAGAGACTCTGCCTTAAAATACAAGGTACAGAGCAACTGAGGAGGACACAGCTCTTGACCACTGGCCTACATGTGCACCTGTATACACACACACTCATTCACACAGATGTGCGCACACAGATACAGGTATCCACACGTAAGCACATACACAGATACAAACACACATGACCAGACACATGCGCATACACATACTGTCAGCTATGTAACACTATTCTTGGGGGAACCTGAACAAATACCTACTCACCCTCTTTGTGTGACCAGAGACTTTTCCCGAGGAACTGCAGCACACAGGGACACTCACCAGGTAGGGAGCCCACAGCAGACCGAGTGCAGACACCACCCAAGTCCCACTTGGTGGACCATGAGCTTTCCTGGGGTCACTGACAGGCCTGTGGGTGAGGAGACCCCAGCGTGGGTGACAGCTCACAGAACTGGGCACCTGGAGCCCACTGCACAGCCTGCAGGCCACAGCAGGCTGGAGAGCATCCTTTGCAGATGCCTCAGCTGCTCTGAGCCTCCTCCAGGCAGCTGGAAGACTCTGACAGCATCTCTCAGCCATCCTCATCACTATAGACATCTGCGAGGGTCTTAGCTAGGGTTTCGGTTGCTGGGATAAACCCCATGACTTGAAGCAACTTGGGGAGGAAGGATTTATTTCATCTTACAGCTTATAGTCTGTTTTCAGGAACACCTGCCCAGGGAGGTGCCACCCCCAATTGCCTGGGCCCTCCCCCATCAGTTATCAACCTAGAAAGTGCTACCCAGACTTGCCTACATGCCAGTCTGATGGAGGCATTTTCTCAGTCCAGAGTCCTCTTCCCAGACATGTCTAGGGTTGTGTCAGCTTAACAAAAACCAACCAACCTACAGAGGGAGGAATTGGTGAATCTAATCAGTTTCAGGGACTTCCTGGAGGTTCTGGATGGTTTACTTCCGCAGTCATGAACATTCTGGGCATGGCAGTGTGTTTTAATCTGTTCAATACACACGTCCATAAACACGCATACCTGCAGGCCACTCCCCTCCAGCTTGGAGTCCATGGCCGCGCTCTGCTGATGCTCTGTGGCCGGTGGGCCCCATCTCTGGCTGCTCTGATCCTTGGTGCATTGGTTACTTTCTGTGATGCAATGACACCACAACCAAAGGCGACTTAAGGAAGAGTTTATTTGGCTTGCAGTTCAGAGGAATAAGAGTCTATGTGGTGGGAGGCGCGGCACAAGCCGCAGGGACAGAAAGCTCGCGTCTGGAGCCACTGGCAGGAAGCAGAGAGCAAAGCAGAAGTAGCACAGGCTTTTTAATCCCAAAGTCTGCCCCAGTGACACACTTCCAGCAGCCAGGCCACACCTAGCCACTCCCCAAACAGTACCAGAAACAGGGACCAGGTATTCAAGCATATGAGCCTATGGGGGCCATTCTCAAAGTACCCAAGAAGTCAGAACCGAACCTCAGACATAACAGGAACCTGGAGGCAGCAACTGTTGCAGAGGCCACGGAGGGTGCTGCTAACTGGCTTGCCCCCCATGGCTTGCTCAGCCTGCTTTCAGGACCATCAGCCCAGGGATGGCGCCACCCACAATGGACTGTGCCTTACCCATTGATCACTAATTAAGAAAATACCCTAGAGCCAAATCTTAAGGTGGCATCTTCTCAATCAAGGCTCCCTCCTTTCTGATGGTGCTGCCTTGTGTCCAGTTGACACAAATCTAACCAGCACCCCTCTGAAGCCACAGAGAAAGAATCCAGAATCCATGCTTCATTCACTCCTGCATCCTTTGTGCTTTCAAAGTCAGCACCGTGTCCACTGTGCTACCAGCCTGGGACGGACAGCTCCCTCGGACCACAGCAGCTGCAGTTTTTCCCTTCAATTTCTTTCCAGGAGCATAGATGCCCGCAGGAGTTAGAGCTCAGCTGGGTGACTGTGCCCTGAATGCCCTCCCTTGCATTCCAGTGCGGGGGAGGGGGGAGCCTCCCCTCCATCACCAGCCTGCAGGGCAGCATCAAGTTTCCTGGCGCTCTTTTTCTCTGCACACTGCACAGGTTGAAATTCTCGCTGCCCTGCCGCTCTTTCTCACGTAGACCTTCACTGAGAGTGATCTCTCTAACCACAAGACAGAGCCAACATCATGTTTAAAGCCTCCTGCAACAAAGAAAGGAGTTCTTGCTTTAAGTTGTTCGTGTTTTGCTTGCATTCATGCCAATCACAGGTCCAAGGTCCCTGCCAGGGACAGGCTTATTTTCTGCTTCCTGGCCTCCAGGATTGTGAGCTGATGTTGTAACCCTCCCAGCCTCAGAGGTGCTGTCATAGTGAAGGAAAACACACCGAGGCGCGGTTTGAGAGTTTGAGTGAGAAGTCTCCCTCATGGTCCTGTCTGGGGCATTGTAACTCGGGTCCCCCCAGCAGGTGCTGCAGAAAGAGTGTCACAGGGGCGGCCTTTAACCCAGGAAAGCCTTGTGCTGCTCCCAGTGTGCCCTGTATTTCATTTGTATTCTAATAAATAAAGCTTGCCTGAAGATCAGAGAGAAAAACAGCACCACTAGTCAGCCTTACAGACCAGGCTCTGGCAACACACCCCTTTAATCCCAGTAGCCATACTAGTTTGCCATAGAAACCGAGCGGTGCATGCCTTTAATCCCAGTGGTGCGCGCCTTTAATCCAAGAACTAGAGAGGATTATAAAACTGAAGGATTATAAAAAGTCTCATTCTGAGATTCCTAGAGGCAGGATCGCTACTTTCAGACTAAGGTAAGAGCCAGTGACTGAATGCTTTGTTTTCTGACCTTTAGGCTGAACCCCAGTTTCTCTCTCTGAGTACTTCAGTGCCCTCCACTTCTTGCCAGAACACCTTGCAAAGTAGTTCCAACACACACAGAGCAACACACACACACGGAGCAGCCTTGCCTCAAGACCCTACACGTGCGAGGACTGGCCTAGCTGTGAATCCCTTTTTATTTTTATTTTTTAAATATAACTTTATTTTATGTGCATTGGTGTGAGAGCATCAGATCCCCTGGAACTGGACTTACAGACAGCTGTGAGCTGCCATGTGGGTGCTGGGAATTGAACCTGGGTCCTCTGGAAGACTCAGTGCTCTTAACCGCTGAGCCATCTCTCCAGCCCTGGGAATTCCTCTTTAATTAAAAAAAAAATTCACCCCTTAAATCTCCCCCCACAACACCACAATCAATCAAAATTTCAACCATGGTCCTCAATGTCGGTCACAAAGAGTCAAATGACCTCCTCACAGGGGTCACCAAAGACCATACGAAAACACAGACCTTTACATTATGATTCATTCATAAAATTACAGTTATGCAGCAGCAGCAGAAGTGACTGTGGTTGGGGTCAGCACAACAGGAGGAACGGTACTAAAGGGTCGCAGGGTTAGGAAGGTTGGGAACAGCTGGGAACTCACTGTCTTCAAACCACTGTGCACCCACATCCCATGACCCTGCTGTCTGATACAGCCATTGTCACTTCCTGCTGTTGTTTGGTTTCCTCTTTTAGAGACCATGTCTCATTTCACCCAGGCTGGTCTTGAATGCACTATGAAGCTGAGGATGACCTCAAACTCTGTGTGTGTGTATGTGTGTGTATGTGTGTGCGCGTGGAGGCCAGGAGACAAGTGTCTTCCTCGGTCACTCTCTGGTCTGTCTGTCTGTCTTCTGTCATCTATCTATTATCTATTATCTATCTGTCTGTCTGTCTATCTATCTATATCTATCTGTCTATGTCTGTTTGCCTGACTGCCTATTTGAATTACAGACACACCATACTGCTCCTGTTTTTTTGTTTTGTTTTGTTTTTTAAAACCTGGGCACATATGACCTAAATGCATGCGCACCAAGCCCTCACTGAGCGAGCCTGATTGTAGTCCCCAGTAATGAGTTGATAAACAGGAGCCACTGTGCCTGGCCTCTTTTTAAAAAATTAAATTTATTTGTCTCTTTTTAAGGGTGGGACATACATACCACTGTACTGTACCCAAGTGGAGGCCAGAGGGCCACTGGCAGGAGCCAGCTCTCTCCCTCCCCTCGTGCTTTCAGGGGCGTGAACTAGGGCAGCAGCTTGCACCTAGCCACTGAGCCTCCAGCCCCTTCCTGTTTGGGTGGAACTCCCTGTGGGGGCTGGAGGTACTGCCCAGTAGTTAAGAATGCTTGCTGTGTCCTCTGCTGGCCACAGTGGGTACTGCAGGTGTAAAGTGCTTAGCCTTCACCTCGAGTTCCAGGACAGTCAAGGCTGCACAGAGGAATCCTGTCTCAGAAAATAAAAAAAAAAGCAACAAAATAACCAAAACAAAACCCCCAAAACTGTTTTGAAAATGCCTGTGAGGGCCGAGGCTGTAGTTCGACTGTAGAGTATTGGCCCGGTGTATACAGAGCCTCTAGCTCCAACCCAGCACCACCCACACCTGTGACTCTTTTGTTTGGTTGATTTTTTGAGACAGGGTTTCCATGTATAGCCCTGGCTATACTGGAACTCACTCTGTAGACCAGGCTGGCCTCAAACTCACAAAGATTTGCCTGCCTCTGCTTCCCCAGTGCTGGGATTCAAGGCGTGTGCCACCATTGCTGGGCTAACACCTGGGGCTCTCTCTTGCAGCTCCTCTCAAGCTGTGGAGCAGTCACTGCGACGGAGAGGTGCTGCTGAGGCTCTCCCGACATGGGCCAGGCCATGAGACCCCGATGACCATTCCTGAGCTGTTTCAGGAGTCTGTTGAGCGATTTGGCGCTCACCCAGCCCTGGCCTCGAAGAACGACAAGAGGTGGGACACACTGACTTTCAGCCAGTTCTACGATGCCTGCCGCAAGGCGGCCAGATCCTTCATCAAGGTGAGCAGCCCCTTCTGTCAGCCATTCAGAAGCAGTGGTTCATAGGGTGGAGTGGCAGACTCTGGGGAACTGAGGTAGGAGGCTCCTAAGTCCCGAGCCAGCCTGAGGTACTGAAACCCTGTCTCAGAAAACAAACAAAAGGTTAAAAAGAGGTTGGGCAGAGCCTCAGTGACGGCAGGGTCTCTGGGTGTGCACAGAGCCTGGGGCTCCATCCTCAGTACCACGTAAAACCGGGTGTGGCGGTGCATACCCACCACTCTCAGGAAAGGCTGGAGGGCCAGGAGTTCAAGCTCATCCTCAGCAGCTGAGGGGCCAGGATCTAGCCTGGGCTGCGTGAGGAAACACCTGTGGGGCTGGCTTACAGTCCCAGAGGGTTAGTCCATGGTCATGACGGTGGGGGGCATGCGGAATGCTTGGTGCTGGAACCGCAGCTGACAGTTTACATGTTATGGGTAAGTGGGAGGCAGAGCACAAGACTTGACACCTCAAAGCCCACCTCCTCCGACAAGACCACACCTCCAAATCCTTTCCGAACAGTTCAGTCAACTGGGGGCCATGCATTCAAACGTGAGCCTGTAGGGGCCATTCTCAAACACCACTCCCTGACCCATTGCTTGTGGTCATAGAATGCAAAATACCTTCAGTCCAACTTCAGAAGTTCACATAGTCTGTCACAGTCTAACACTGTTTCAAAGTCCAAAGTCTCTTCTGAGACCCAGTGCAATGGATCATGTCCTTCCAGCATGCAGCGACTCATTCCAAAAGGGAGCAAAGAGCAAAAGAGGCAAGGAAACCCTGCCCCAGAAGGACGTAAATCCAGCGGTGATCTGGATTACTCCATGTCCAGTCACTCTGGTGTCAGAGAGCGGGGACGGCTCTTTGGGTCTCTACTCTTCCCAGCTTCCATGCAGTAGCACACTTCCCTCCCTTGATCTGCAGCTCTCCTGCAGTATCCCATAGTTCTGGCGTCTCCGTCACCTTGAGGTCTCCAGTACAATCCAGGCTTCTCTGTCACAGCCCCCATGTGGGGACTCTCCTGCCACATGCCTGGCCTCAGCGGCTTCTCTAACCACGGAGGGAGTCCAGAACCACATGACTGATACTGCCAAGTCCCGCTGCTTGCTTGGGATGGACCCTGGCCACCCCGGACCTACACGCCTGTGCTTTGAGTCACTGCTACCGTCCTTTGTTGCATAGACCTTCCTTTAATTCCTTTCTTAGTTGCAAGATTGACTGGGTGGGGTCTTGCTCTGTGGACGCCAATCCTTTCTTTTCCATATCAGGCTTTTCTTTAGGCTTCTCGTGCCCTTGAGCGCAGGACTTGGCCCCAACATTACCTTTCCTGATGCCGCTCAGTGCACATTTCTCTTTGCCCTGCTCACTCCTTTCGTTGTGGACTTGCTGAAATCACCAACAGCCATGTGACACAGCCATGTGACACAGTCAATATTAGGCTGTCTTGAAGTCTCCTTTGCCCACAACACTGGTTCAAATTGGTTCAGATCTCTTCACATTAGCCTTAGGCAGAAAGCAGGAACATTCTTCATCAAAATACCTTAACAATGGTCTCCGACTCTGTTGCTAACATTGTTGCCCTCTGAAGCCGCTTGAGCTAGGGCTCCACAGTCTTCCAGCAGCTGTATGCAAACCTTCACATGTGCACGCACACACATCCTCATAAATAAAACTAAGGGCATGAAGAGGGGTGGATCCTAGGTTCCAGCAGCAGCCTGGCCTCTATGGTGAGCACCAGGGAAAAGCATGGGACCTTGTCTGAAAAGACATGAGGGCCCCCGGGGACAGGGTACTCAGTGCAGTGAGCCTTACACAGAGGACACACACTGCAAGATGCCATCCCAAGGGGTTCACAGAGCACCAGATGCACATTGTCAGGAGGAGGGACGTGGGTGCTGAGGTCTGAGGAGGGATGGAGTTCATGTCAAATGGGGGCGGAGAGTCATGTGGGGACAATGGAAGGTTCCATGTGGATGCTCGGAGAGAGGTGACTTAGCTTATGGTACCCGAGTGCAGGCTGGACGGCAACTTCCTGCTCCCCGCAGGCGCTTTCCTTTTTCTTTTCACCCCACGATTGGATCTTGAGAAGCAGACATGCCCAGAAGCTGATGGTGGCTTCCTTCTGGTTTATTTCCCTCCAGCTGGGCCTGCAGCGCTTCCATGGCGTTGGCATCCTGGGTTGTAACTCCGCCGAATGGGTCATCGGCGCCCTTGGTGCTGTCTTGGCTGGGTATGTTCCCCCTTGGGGTCATGTGGATGAACCACCAGCTGCTCAGTGCTGAGTCTGGGAGTCGCACAGATACTGAGGACGAGGCCACCAAAGTTAGATGAGCTGAGGCAGCTATTCCATCACCACGGGGTACCGGAGCTTCCAACTAGTGAGGGTCACGGGCAGCTCGGGTTCTGACCCTGTGACCCCGAGCAGAAGGAGTAGCCTCTTTCTCAACCAAAAGTCACAAGGAAGGGGGTCAGAGGTGATAGAAGAAAGGATTTTTACAATTTGAGGTTCAGTCCCAGTGGCGGTACTTTCCGGGAGCTTACAGCTCAGTAACACTTTCCAACTAGAAGATCCAATTTGTGAGAACACGCAGCCAGCGCAAGAGGGCTTGCTGGCGCAGGTCTGTGGCTATGGTAACACAGCTCCCGACACAGCTGGAGTCCTGATGTTTAACCAGCTGTTGTCATAACTGCAGAGAATATGGGACACGTCAGGCAGAAGAAGCAGGCTAGGTGGCTGGTGGCTTTGAATTATTGTGAACTCCACACTCAGCACAAACCCAGATTCAGTCAGAACCTGGCAGTGGTGGCCCACGCCTTTAAACCCAGCACTTGGGAGGCAGAGGCAGGCCAATCTGTGAGTTTGAGGCCAATTTGAGTTTGGTTTTACAAGAGCTAGTTCCAGGACAGGCTCCAAAGCTACAGCGGAACCCTGTCTCAAAAAAACAACAAACAAACAAACAAAAACCCTGATTCAGATTCAGAGGTCAAGAGTAACACACCTTCCACCTGTGACCTTGGCCTCATTTTCCTTTTAAAAATAATCTCTTAAATTTAAATGTAAAGATTTGTGCACATGTGCAGGTACGTGTGTGTGTGTGTGTGTGTGTGTGTGTGTGTGTGTGTGTAGATGTCTACAGAGGCCAGGTGATGGGGTAAGGGGTCAGATCCCCTGGAGCTGGAGTTATAGGCCATTGTGAACCAAGTGGATGCTGGGAACTGGACTGGAGCCCCTGCAAGAGTGGCCAGCCAGCTCTCTAACCACTGAGCCATCCCCAGCCTGGGCCGAGCTCTCACTGCTGGCGACCTCCACAGAAGGCTGGTGGTTTGGGGCTCTGTGGTACAGAGAGCCTCATAAAACCCCCCAGCCACAGCAGAGGAGCCACTTTGATGGCTAACGGCCTTATGATGCCAGCATGAAAACCTGAGTTCAATTCTGAGAAGCCATAGAAAATGCTAGCACTGACTGGGAGATGCTGGCTCGGTGGAGAGAGGCACCTGCTGTCAAACCTGCTGATCTTAGGTCCATGCACTGGGTTCCCAGAGTGGCAGGGGAGAACCCGCTGCTCGGCCCCCCCTCCACTGCTTGCTTCAGGATGAGTCACCTCATCCACACAAATATCTGTAATTTTAAAAAGAATAAATTGTAGGAAGAGCCTTGACTGCTCCTCCGGAGGACCCAGGTTCTCCCAGCACCCACACGGCAGCTCACAACCGTCTGTAACTCCAGTTCCAGGGATCTGATGAGTCTCTTTGGCTACTCTGGGTATTTTACATATGTGGGACACACAGACATGCAGACAAAACACCCACATACATAAAAAAAACACTTTTAAGAATGAATTCTTTCAGAAGCACTCAGTCTGTCCACACTTGAGTGTGTCTGCTGTCCCCAGGGGCCTCTGCGTTGGCATTTATGCCACCAACTCGGCCGAGGCCTGCCAGTACGTCATCAGGCAAGCCAGGCTGAACGTCCTGCTGGTGGAGAATGACCAGCAGCTGCAGAAGATCCTGTCGGTGAGTGGGGCTCAGGGTGGATTGCACTGTCTGAGGTGCATCCACAAAAGACCTCCAGAAAAAAATCGCGGGGGGGGGGGTAAGGTGACTGTGGGGTGTTGATTCCCAGGCCTGTTGGTTCACCTCACTTTCCAACATCCCTCTGAAGAGTGCACTCACAGGAGGCAGACATGTCTGTCTACCAGCACTGTCCTGTAGCATTCATGTTCATACAGATGTTCCAGAAACACCTCTCATTCCTCACCTGTGCACAGGGTTTGCAGGAGGATCTGGAGGAGAGCCCAGGGGGCCAGGCGGACATGCTGTTCAGCTTGGCCATCAGGAGCTGGGGGGCTGGCTCAGTGGGGACCCGAGTCTGTCGTCACAGTGTGAGGATGTCAGACAGGACCCTTGGCCAGTCAGTAGTGAGAGACACCGCCCGAAAAGACAAGCAGAGAGTGATGGGGAAGATGCTCAACACTGTCCTCTGACGCACGGACAGACAGACACATACATAGACACAAAAGTTAAAAAACAAAGCGCAAGAGCTGCCGTGACAGTTCGCTCCATGTCTCCAGGCTCAAGTCAAACATTATCTAGAAACAACATGAGCAGGGACATGTATGTCTACCCGTGGTCTAGCTGTTGGTCATGTGTCCCCAGTGAATTCCTTCTTAGGCTGGCTGGAGTCTGTGGCCATGTGCAACAGTTCCCTTTGACTCCTGGTTGCCAGTATTGAGCTGGGTCTCCTATAGGCTAGGTTGGCCTTGAGCCCACCGTGTAACTGAAGCTAGCCTTGGCCTCCTGATCCTCCGCCTCCACCTCCTGAGTGCTGGGGTGACATGTGCTGGGTCCAGGCCCCAGGGCTTTGTGAGTGCTGGTGACTGTTCTGCCCACTGAGCACAGCCCCAGCCTCCATTTATAAAAATTACTTTCTTTTTTAAAAAAAAGATACGTTTATTTATGTATGAATGTGTCCGTATATTTGCGCGGGCGCACGCATGCCACGGTGTGTGGAGGACAAAGGTCAGATTTGTGGGGTCGGCCCTCCTCTTTCATCATGTGCAAACGCCTTTACGAGCAGTCTGGTGTGGATCCTGCGTCCTAGTATCTGAGCCCACAGGGAACTCTTTCAGATTCCACCCGACAAGATGGAGCCCGTGAAAGCCATCGTGCAATACAAGCTTCCCTTGAAGGAAAACAGCAGGAATCTGTACTCGGTGAGTACGGGAGGGGCGGGAAGGGCGGGGCCTCTGGGAAGGGCGGGGCCTGCGGAGCGAGGTGTGCTCTGTGGGAGGGGAGGGGCTTGCGAGAGGGCCCATGCCACTACAGCAAGAGTATCGTGAGTCTTGGATCACTTTAAAGTTTATGTTTGAAGCAAGGCTGGGGACACAGGCCTGCCATCCTAACTACTAGGAAGGTTCAGACAGGAGGATTCTAAGTTTAAGGCCTGCCAGAGCAACAACTAAAAGAAGAGGCCTGGGGCATGGCTCAGAAGTAAAATGACTACTTAGAATCCCCCCAGTGAGGGGCTGGGGGTGTGTTCAGGGGTGGAGCCCCGTCTAGAATCCTCCAGTGAGAGGATGGAGGCGTGGTCAGGGTGGAGCCCCGCCTAGAATCCCCAGTGAGGGGCTGGGAGTATAGCCTTCTGGTGTCTTCTTGCCTTGGTGTGTGATGGGAGAACCTGGGTTCAACCTTTAATGCTGAGTTTTGAAGGAAAGAAAAAACTAAGGTAACCTCCTTAGTTAGAGGTACCCCTGACCACACTTGGCACTCTTAAATTTGGGCCAGAGGACCCTTGGCAGGGATAGTCCTGGAGCCTTGCGTCTGACCTTCAACCACTAGGTGGCAGCAACGGTTGTCCCAGAGGAACAAGTCAATACATTGATTATGGCACGTTCCCTCTGGGCGGCAGTGCCCCTCACTGGTACACACACAGGGGGTGGTTTTGTTACTTAGCAATGTATTATCTACTCTAAGGTGGCTGGGTGGCCCCATGAGGTTGGAATGGAGATAGATCTAGATATGTATGTAGCTCAGGCTAGTCCTGAACTCACAGCCCAGCTGGCCTAAAACTTGACATCCTCCTGCCTCAACCTCCTGTGTGCTGGGACCATGACAAGGGTTCAAGCCTAGGTTTTAAGATTCAGTTTAAGAATACACTTTTTTAGGACCAGCGCCTCAGTCTGCTTAGCTGCCCTGGAAGATCATCTAAACCTGAAGGACACCATTGCCTTTAGTCCTTCAGCAGAGGCAGGCGGATCTCTGAGTTCAAGGCCAGCCTGGTCTGTAGAGTGAGTTCTAGGACAGCCAGGTCTACACAGAGAAGCCCTGTCTCGAAAAACAAAAGGCCAACTCCAAATGTCTTGAGCAAGGAAGGTCTTTTGCCGGTTCCTTTACCTGCAACTTAAAAGGGCTGGTTTCAGGCAGAGGGCTTCAGCCAGGGGCTTGCATCCTCTGGGGTCCTATTCTCTAGCCCCCGGGGCCCCTGCAGCCCCTGGGGATCCCACGGTTCAGGCTGTGCTAGCTGCATTCCTCCTCTTCATGAGCTCTAGCCCTGGATCGATGGGATACCCCGGCTTCATTCAGTCAGGAATGACTTCCAAGGTAAGGAAGCCTGACAATGTGAGCTCAGGAAAGCCTAAGCGCTCCCTCCCAGGGTCACCGGCTCCTGCGGGAGGGGCCAGCAAGAGGGCTCAGCAGGTAAAGGGGCTTGATCCTAGGAACTCACATGGTAGAAGGAGGGATCCCCCAGACATGCACCCCAAAATAAGTAAATGTAACTTTAAAAGTTTTTGTTTCAGTGTTTTGAGGGTCAGTCTTTTGTTATTTACACCATGTTGTTCTTCAGGATAGCGTATACACCAGAGGAGCTGGGTGAAGAGACCACAGGTGCTGTCCAAAGCCAAGCACAGACAGGCAGGCAGTCACTTCTTGGGACAGCCCACAGAGAGGGCCTCGCATTCCTGTGCAGAAGATGAGGCCTGACTGAGCTGACAGGCCCTGGGGAGGGGGCTGAGTGTGAAAGTCCTGGGCATTTCTCTGCCAGCCCCTTGGAGTAAGACGGTAGGACAGGGTCTGAGCAGTAGCCATCTGGGGCCCCACCCTCCACCCTCCTTCCCGTCCACAGTGGCATGACTTCATGGAGCTGGGTAACGCCATCCCCAATGTGCAACTGGATCGCATCATCTTGAGCCAGAAGGCCAACCAGTGCGCGGTCCTCATCTATACCTCGGGCACCACAGGGAACCCCAAAGGGGTGATGCTGAGCCATGACAACGTAAGCCAGGGTTCCTTCCCCTGGAGCATGCTGTCCCCTGGGCAAACCAGAGCAGTATGGAGGTGTGTGTGGGTCTGTGTGGGTCTTCTTCCAGGGGACCTGGACAGTTGGTGGAACTGAGGACTTGAAAGTAGGCCTGGGTCCAAAAAAGGGCTGAACAATCTTGGGCAAGAAAACTGATGGTGCCATGCCTCAGTTTCCCTGTCTGTGAAATGGGAGTTGGCTTCATGGTTTCTATCAGGTGGGTGTGGTATTTTAAAAATTCATGTATGTGTGTGTGTGTGTGTGTGTGTGTGTGTAGTCTGAGTGAATGTGTGTGTGAGTGTGTGTGTGCAGGCCAGAGCCTGACTTCAGCTGTGGTCCCTCAGCTGAGCGTCCCTAAGCTGAGGTCTAGAAACCCACCTCTCTAAGGCTAACTCTATTGCTGAGCACCACCACACAGGCACCAGGTACTGGAACTCAGGGCTTTTTATGTAGGATGGGCACTTTACCCACCAAGACATTTCACCAGCCTCATTGGTTTATTGTATTTTTTAAAGATTTTATTTATTTATTATGTATACAGTATTCTGCCTGCATCTATGCCTGCAGGCCAGAAGAGGACACCAGATCTCATTACAGGACGATTGTGAGCCACCATGTAGGTGCTGAGAATTGAACTCAGGACCTCTGGAAGAGCAGCCAGTGCTCTTAACCACTGAGCCATCTCTCCAATCCATTTTATGTTTATTTTTTGAGACATGGTGCCATGTAGTCCAGGCTGGCCTCAAACTTGCTATGTAGCTGAGGATAGCCCTGAACCCCTGATTTTTCTGCCTCCACCTCCTGCGTGTTGGGATGATGGCATGCTTGTGAGAACACGTGTGTGCAGTGTCTGCCGTCATTGATGTCTTTCTCGCTTGCTCTCCTATATATTAAGTCAGGCCTCCCATCTGGACCCAGGGTCACAGGTTCAGCTCGTGTGTCTCCACCTTCCAAGTGACTGGGTTTGCGGGTGACCGCACATACACTGCACTGGACAGTTCTCTGTTAACTTGACACAGGCTGGAGCATCTGAGAGTAGGGACCTTCCAGTCAGAAAAATGCCTGGGGAAGACTGGGCTGCGGACAAGCCTGTGGGGCACTTTCTTAGTTAGCAATCTGTAGTAGATCTGGCTTTCTCTTTTGGGCCACTAATGTGATCCCAAATCACCACACAGAGATTTATTTTAAGTTGTGAATGTTTGATCTTAGCTTAGTTGTTTTTTTTTTTTTTCTGCTCTAGTTCTTTTAGTTTATATTAACCTGTTTCTCTTTTACCTACCGTTTGCCTCGGGGCTGCTTACCTTCTTTCTGTGTGTCCTGCTGGTGTGGGGGGGGGGGGGCACCTGGCTTCGGGGCCCCAGTCTCTCTCTCATTCTCTCCCCCTCCTCCTCTCATTTTTTTCCTTTTTCTGAAGCCTAGATTTCTCCTATGTATTATGCCTGCCAACCCTGCCTATCCTTTCTCTGTCTAGCTGTTGACTGTTTAGTCCTTTGTTAGACCAATCTGGTGTCTTGGGCAGGCAAGGCCAAACAGATACAACACATCTTCACAGAATCAGACACATTCTTACATTGTTAAATACAGCATAAACAAAAGTAACACATCTTCACAGAATTAGACACATTCTTATATTGTTAAACAAATACAACATAAACAGATACAACAACAACACATCTTCACAAAATTAGGCACATTCTTACATTGTTAAACAAATACAGAATAAACAAAAGTAACACATCTTTACACAGTTAAAATAATACTCAACAACAGTGATCAGTTAGGAGGGCCCAGCCCATGGTGGCTGCTGGTCCTGGTCTCTGTAAGAAAGCAGGCTGAGCAAACCATAAGAAGCAAGTGAGTAGGCAGCACTCTCCATGGCCTCTGCACCAGCTTCTGCCTCCAGGTTCCTGCCCTGTGTGAGTTCCTGTCCTGACTTCCCTCGGTGATGGTCTGTTACCTGTAAGCATGAGCCAAAGAAACCCTCTCCTCCCCACGTTGCTTTGGTCATGGTGTCTCATCAGACCACTAGTGACCGTGACATCACCCACTAGTGAGGACACCACTGCCATCACGTCTGGGTTCTGGAGACCGTGCTCCAAACTTCACTCTTTTGTGAAAAGAGCGTTAGCAGCCACGCCATCTCCCAACCCCTACAGGTTGGCATTCTAGATGAACCGACAAAGCTGTCTCCCCAGCCTCGTTCCTTCCTTCCACCTGCTGGTCTGTCGGTGTGCAGCGTGGGGAGTGTGCAGTCACTCTCCACCTTCTGAGGACTCTCACTGAACCTGCTGCTCACCTGTGGTTAGGCTGGCCAGCCACCAAGTCCCAGGGATCCCCCTGTATCCACCAGCGTGGTGACAGTAGTGTATCACAAATGTGAAAGGTGGACCAGTAGTCCGGGGAGTGGTTTCAGTGCAGTGCTCTCCCACAAGCATGAGGTCCCCAGTGCAGTCCGCGACACCCAAGTTAAAATGCAGGCGTGACAGTGAGCAGTCTGGAATCCCAATGATGGGGGTGGAGATAGGAAGATCCTGGACCTCACTGGCCAGGCAGCCTCCTCAAATTGTGGAGCCCCAGGTTCAGTGAGAGACCTTGAATCAGAAGACAAGGCAGAGCGGGCTGGAGAGATGGTGCAGTAGTTAGGGGTGGAGTTTGGAACCCAGCACCCACATAGCCCTCAGGTGTTACATGAAGCTGTCGCCTCCAGCTGGAGTGCGGCAGAGACACAAGGGTTGCAAAGCTTGATGGTTCTTTTCTAACCTGGCCACAAAGCAGGAGTAGCTGGTTTGAGAAGAGAGCCCGCCCCAGAGCAGTGCACATGCCCTTATAGGAAAGTCCATATCTTAAGAAAATGCGTGTGTGTGTGTGTGTGTGTGTGTGTGTGTGTGTGTGTGTACAGCTATGGGCATCTAAGTCATCATGTGGGTGTGGGAGCTGACCAGGTACTCGGCAGGAGCAGCAAGCCGCTGAGCCATCTCGCCAGCCCCAGTAAATAAAATTTCAAAACAGTAAGGTAGTAAACAGTGAGGGAAGAAAACTGATCTCCATCTCGGGCCTCCTCACATGTGCTCACACACACGCACACATGCACACATGTGCACACACACGTGCACAGTGGTCCTCAGGTAAGGCACCAGAGCTCTGGGTTATCCTGTTTTCTAGATCACGTGGACTGCGGGGGCCGCATGGCGGGAGCTGGAGCTGAGCTGTGCCTCAGGGAAGCAGGAGACGATAGTCAGCTACCTGCCCCTCAGCCACATTGCACCCCAGATGACGGACATCTGGTTGGCCATCAAGATTGGGGCGCTCATTTTCTTCGCTCAGCCGGACGCACTCAGAGTAAGGCTGGGCATGGGCCCCACCAAGTGTCTGGGGGCCGTCAGGGGAGTGGATTTCATTTGTCCACTGGACAAAGTCTAAGAAATTTTTCTCTGTCTTCATTTTTCTGCTCTGTTGCACAGCATTGAAAACAGCTGAGTAAATTCTCTTAGTTTTATCTTGATGTGCAGTGCAGTTGTGTAGACTGCACCCTAAACAAGCTCAGCTAGAGGCTGTGTGACGTTGAACGTCTGTGCTTTTAGTATTTCTTGTGTTTGCTTATTGGGTTTGTGTGCCGTGGTGTGCATATGATGGTCAGTGGACATTTGAGGGTCCGTTCTCTCTTCCACCCTGTGATTCTGG